CTCGTGGACTTGCAGGTGTAGGCATAGCACTAAGTACAAGGGCAGAACAGGCACTACTAGAATGGATCCCCGTTAACAGTCGCCTGTGTGCTGTCCGGCTAAATGGCTCCGTAAGAACTCGGAAGGATAGGGACACACGTCGTTGCCTTTTCGTCGTTTCTGCCTACGCTCCCACTGACTGCAGCCATGATGAAGTAAAAGATGACTTTTACAGAAAACTCTCTGAGCTTCTTCAGAAAGCTAAGCGCTCAGATATAGTAGTCGTAGCGGGTGACTTTAATGCCCAGGTAGGCAGCTTAAATCAAACAGAAAGACATTTAGGTGGGTGTTTTAGTATTCCGGCTCAACGAACCGATAATGGTGATCGTCTGTTGCAACTATGCTCAGACAATCGTTTATTTCTAGCAAGCACTAATTTTAAACATAAGGAGAGACATCGTCTAACATGGCGACCACCTGCACCAAACCAACGATGGACTCAAATAGACCATATTGTCATCAGTCATCGTTGGAGAGGCTCAATAGAAGATTGTCCCTCGTATTGGAATACTTGTTTAGACTCTGATCACGCTTTAATACGAGCGCGCATTTGTCTGCGCCTCAATGGACGCAGGAAAAGTACACTAAGAAGACCCATTAGGATTGAACTGGAGGACGAGAAAGCCAAATGCGAATTCCAGAAGCAACTGAGTTCACATCTAGGCAGTTCTGTAAACGAGACTGACCCAGATGCTGCTTGGAAAGACACACGAACAGCTGTGGAAACAGCAGTAACATCTATTAGTTATTTAAACCATAGGGCTCCAAAAAACCAGTGGATTTCCTCTAAGTCTATTTCACTGATGGATTCGCGTAAACTCATCCCATCAGGCTCTGAACATGACGAAGAGCGTAAACAAATTAGATCTAGGTTAACTAAAAGCCTAAGGAACGATCGTGAGCAGTGGTGGGCAACGAAAGCAAAAGAGATGGAAAAGGCAGTGGCTGTAGGCAACACCAGGCAACTATTCAGACTAATAAAAGAAACCGGAATTAAGAAGTCAAGTGTGAGTGAGACAATCTCGGAAAAAGACGGAACCCTTATCTGCTCTCAACCTAAACGTTTAGAACGATGGGCGGAACACTTTAAGGAGCAGTTTAGCTGTCCTTCAGCTACTGCACAACTACCCACTATTCCCAGAAAACCTGAATGGAACATTGAAGTAGGCCCCCCGACCCTACTTGAAGTTCAAAAGGCTATAGGTAATCTGAAACGAGGAAGAGCAGCTGGTCCTGATGGATTGGCTCCAGAGGTTTTTAAATACGGTGGTCCAATTTTAGCGATTAGGTTGACTAATATTCTGGCTAAAATCTGGGAGACGGATGTAATCCCATCCGACTGGTCACAATCACTGATTGTCCCAATATATAAAAAGGGGTCAAAATCATCCTGTGATAACCATAGAGGGATTAGTCTGACTAAAATAGCATCTAAAATACTAGCCTCAATAATTATCAGGCGCCTAACTAAGACTCGTGAACTGCAAACGCGAGAAAATCAGGCTGGCTTCAGACTTGGTCGTGGCTGTATCGACCACATATTCACCATTCGTCAAGTTTTAGAGCACAGACACGCTTATCGGCGTCCGACAATGATAGTTTTTCTTGACTTGAAAGCAGCATTTGACTCTGTAGACCGAGAGGTTCTGTGGCAGTGTCTGTCATTGAAAGGTGTACCTGAGAAGTACATTAACCTTTTGAAGGCTCTTTACTCGAACACTACCAGTCGAGTGAGAGCTTATGGCGAACTGTCATATGATTTTACAACCTCAAGTGGTGTCCGTCAAGGCTGTCCACTATCCCTATTTTTGTTTAACTTCATTATAGACCTGTTGCTGGAAATAACACTCTCTTCGACTGAATCTACAGGAATTGATCTCCTACCAGGGGGACCACTAAGCGACTTAGAATACGCAGATGGCATAGTCCTGTTTGGTGAAGACGCTGGCAAAATGCAGAGTCTTCTGTTGGAACTGAGTAATAATGCCAGGATGTTTGGGATGCGTTTCTCCCCATCCAAATGTAAATTGTTACTCCAGGACTGGCCTGCGTCAACACTCGAACTAAGGATAGGGAGTGAAGTAGTCGAACGCGTTGACAACTTCACTTATCTTGGAAGTCTGATCAGTTCTAATGGGTTGGTGTCTGACGAAATCTCAGCACGGATTCAAAAAGCTCGTTTGGCTTTTGCCAACTTACGTCACCTATGGCGAAGACGAGATATCCGTCTATCAATTAAGGGACGAGTATATTGCGCATCAGTTCGCTCTGTCCTACTTTACGGCTGTGAAACATGGTCATTAAGAGTAGAAGATACTCGTAGGTTACTAGTATTTGACCACAGATGCCTTAGAAATATTGTTCGCATCTGCTGGGATCACCGGGTAAGTAATAGTGAGGTTAGACGCAGGGTATTAGGGAACGATTGTAAATCAGTTGATGAGGTGATGAATCTTCATCGACTGAGATGGTTGGGCCATGTGTTACATATGCCGTTACTATATTTCGTATTATTTATTATTATTATTATTATTATTATTATTATTATTATTATTATTATTATTATTATTATTATTATTATTTCGTACTATATTTCGGCAACTACACATTTAAAACTTTTGACGAAGGATCATATGCCAGCACTGGAGAATTTACAATTGTATAATAAGATCATTATAATAAGACCAGATGGGGCTCCTGGTATCGTAATAGTGAACCAAAAGATTATGTGTATGAAATGTTCCGTATTCTCAACGGTACATCAAGATTCCAAATCGACAAATATGAAGAAAATACCATTCCAAGAATCGAAAACAGAGTCAATAAACATCTCTAAGAACTTTTGAAGAAGAAACTCATTGATAATTTAACTTACAATAATCTGAGTACAATAGGATCACGACTACCTTTTGTATATGATCTCCATTAATTGCAAAAATCCAACATCCCGTCAAGACTTTTACTGTTTATGGTAAACTCACCATAAGTTCACTCAGTGGTCAACCAAATTATTAGAACCAATTTGTATAAAACTGGCGGCCCATAGTTAAAAATGCGCAATTCAGTTTTTAAAAGAGATGGATCAATTGAATATATGAGATAAAGTCATAGTATCTTCTGACATGTGTTCATTATTAACGAGTATACCACCAGAAGAAACTTAATATAATTTACGACCAATCAGAATTGCTTCCTTTGCCTAAAAAATGAGTTAAGAAATCTGTTACTACTTTGCACGAAAGGGGTTCGTTTCCAACTTATCAATCAACTATACAATTAAGCCGATGAAGTGGTCATGGGGCCTATGTTGGCCGATATCTTCATGACTAACCTAGAACAAACGAAACTAAAACGCGAAATCCAAAACACAACATACTACGCCAGATATGTTGACGACACGTTCTTTATCTGTGATGATATGGACCACGCTTCTCGGTTACTTAGCCACTTCAACAACTCTCATCCCATCATAACGTTCTCAATTGAATATGAAAGACATAGTCTAATCAGTTTTTTTATATCTTAACGTAAGACAAAAAAGTGATTGAAGTCTTGAGAAAAATATACATAGGAAATAAATATTAACAGGACAGTATTTGAACTTTAACAGCTTTTGTCCTATCATTTACAGAAGTGTCTGTTCAAAAGGCTCTTCAATAGATATATGATGTTATGCTCAAATGGCAAATTAAATAAGGAATAGGTTGTTCAGAAAAAGTATCTCATTAAAAATGGATATCCGAGGGAATTTATTACGAACTTCGGAAAAATATCCCAAAATCATAAAAAACCAAGTATTGGGAAGAAACCTGTCTTCATTCACCTTCCTTTTAAGGGAGATAAGATTTCAGGAAGAATTGATAGGAGAGTCAAGGCGGCGCTGAAAAGGTTTCTTACTGCTCAGTTGGTTTCACAATACAACACCGTGTTCTTTATGGCATTCAAAGTTAGGTCAATACCATTCTGACGTCAACTCTAATTACATTTATGAATCTACATGTACTTACGGCAACAATTACATAGGAAGGACAGAGAAAAGGGTCTTCACGGCGTTTTCTGGACACATTATTAGGAATCTGTGGCTGAAAGCGTGTAAAGTCTTTACAAGCGCCAGAAATATTTTGGATAGTGCACATGAAGTGAAGTGAGATATCCGTCTATCAATTAAGGGACGAGTATACTGTTCAGCAGTTCGTTCTGTTTCACTTTACGCCTGCGAAAAGTGGTCATTAAGAGTAGAGGTTACTCTTAAATTACTAGTTTTTAACCACAGATGCCTTAGAAATATTGCTGGGATCTGACGGGATCACCGGGTAAATAATAATAAGGTTAAACACATGGTATTAGGAAATGATGGTAAATCAGTTGATGAGGTGATGAATCTTCATCGACTGAGATGGTTGGGCCATGTGTTACGTATGCCTGAACACCGATTACCACGACGCGCTATGATGACTAGTATTGGGGATGGTTGGAAGAGAGTTAGGGGCGGCCAAACCAAAAGGTGTCATCAGTGTTTGAAGTCACTAACTTCTAGTCTGAGCCATGTTGGCAGATGCAGACTACCTGGTTGTGGTCCGCGTGACTATCGTAACCAATGGTTGGAGACTCTGTGTGACATGGCTCAGAATAGATCACAATGGCGTAGGTGTATACACTCTTTATCTTCCCTTAAACTTTGAGATTCAAATTGCTTCATAACTTTCTTTCTTCCTGTACTATATTTTTATATACAACCTATAATTTATATACTGCTACCAACACTAGATTAACTACTATGAATCCGGTGTTGGTCTTTTTGTGCTGACGAGGTATGGCAACTTGGACCGATGCATATATGTGCCTGGTCCTACGTTGTAGCTGACTGACTGACTGATAGTCGGTCTATCAGCTATGGATCTCATTGACAAATTCATTATATTTTCTGCTTAACTGTTTATTATTATTATTATTTACTTTAGATGATTCGGTACAACCTTCTGTGCTCGATAAAAAACTGTTGGCAAAATTGCGCGATTTTTTTAGAACAAGACCAAGTGCTGCATCTTTACGATCTCGTGGTATTTTGAAGAGTAAGTTATTTGTTTCCATAGTTTGTACGTTTCGTGTATACGTACGTGAATTCCTTATGAAATTGTAGATTTAGCTAAGTGCAAATCGCTACTATTTTGTTACAGCATATAATATATTTATTTGTATGTACTGGAATAAAATTTAAGGTCTGTAAGTGTGGTTATCGGTGTAATTCAAGAAGTTTCTTAACATAGTAGTGTATTTATTTTGGTCTTACGTTACAGTATTCAAAAAGAAAATAACTTCAAACACATATTTTATGGTTACAAATAATTGAATAATCTCATCACTGATGTAACAAACCTTTGTGATTTACCAATGGCGTTTACACAATCGTTTTACTTTATTAGTGAAACTCGAGAAATTATACATATCTAATCCGTACTGTACCGTAGAATTTAATCCTCGATGGTTGAGTCATGGATTCGCACTGGTGAGGAGTTCCATGTTAGAGCTAAGTAGCTGTTCGGTACTTCCACGTTTTTTATAATTGTCTAACTTAAATCAATTGTTGATCTCACATAACATTTAACCATCTCCACAAAACTCCTAAACGAATAATAGAATATCCACAAATTTCTTGTAATTGTATCTAACAAATTATTTACTTTGCAATTATGAGGTAGCCAAATCAAAAAATGTTTATTACGTACTTGTATATTTATGTTTGTAACCATGACTACAAATCCTGTTTTCTTTTTTTATGGATGGATATCAATTTTTTGTTAGCTACTTATCTTTTTATCGGTTTACATTTAACAACCTACTTGAAATCGGCAGTTCTGAAAAATTAGTTAAGCAGTTTACAGTTATATTTTGTTCATTTTACATAATCGAAGTTATTCAAAGTTAAATTTGGTTAAATCGGTTAGTGCCGCCTTTGTGACATCAATGCCATAGAGTCCCTATATAGGCGCTTGCAAAAAAATTTGTAATTGACTATTGGAGGACAAAGTTGAAGTACTTTGCTCAAGTCTTGAATACTGGTCTCGGATATACGTCGAACATTGACTTCGAACCATCTAAAGGCAGTTGAACCTATCTATCATTTGATCTGTCACTGCGAATGTCGAGAAGACAACTTTGGAAGACAAACACATCTTCATGAAAGCTGTATCAAGTACCGTATTCGGTGAGTGTATCCATAAAGTCTTTCATCTATTGGCTTGAGACTGTTTAGATAGATAGATGGATAGAACTCTTATCACAGACGAGGTTTTGAATAACTCTAAAAATCTCGGTTGTCTTTTTCTTCGAGTTGAATTTTCTAATCGTAATGCTTATATTGTCTTTCTTAACAAAATCAGAGCACATTTCAATAAAAAGCTTTGATGAAGACTTGCAAAATAAAAGTGTACGCAAAATGATAATAAAATAAATGGAAAGATGATAAGTTTTAAAAAAGATTTGCATGGTACTATCTAATTATATATATCATGAATAGAGAATCGGAGGCATATTTTCTTGAGTAGTAATAATCATCGTGTAGGGTGTGAGCTGACATATTGTCTGGGCACCCAAACCTGCTCATCTGGTTTTCTTAGGAGGCTAATCTCCGCGTCTGTACCGAAAAAAGACACTGATTGTTGTAAAGATTCCATATAGCATTGATCACACTTTTTTGCAAAGATATATGTTTACTAGTTTGAATTGATGTGTATGTGTTTTGTGGTGAACTTTTCACATACGATTGATGATAAATAGTTCTTACATTTATATTGGAATAAATATGAATATAATTGATTATCCGTTGTAGCATACATTTATAAGTAGTTTGAAATAATCTTTAGTAAGTAAATAAACACATTGACTCAATGTAAATAGAAATAAGTTGATGTTTGTGAACCTTTGAGAAAATAACTTCTTATCACAGTTGAAATCATGAGTCAATTGAAGCTAGACCACCATCGAAAACCTGGAAGCACTGGACGGCCGTTTCGTTCTATTATGGGACTCCTCAGCAGTGCGCATCCACGATACCGCACCCGCGAGATTCGAACCCAGGACCTACCAGTCTCGAGCCGAAGCCCTTAACCGATAGACCACTGAGCCGGCATCCAATGGTGTTAATGTCTAACTTCAACTGATCCACGAAGTTGAGCAACCATTCACCAATTGTCTTCAGTGCGGGATCGTGGATGCGCACTGCTGAGGAGTCCCATAATAGGACGAAACGGCCGTCCAGTGTTTCCAGGTTTTCAATGGTGGTCTAGCTTCAATTGACTCATGATTTCAACTATGAAAATACTAAATTCACCACAAAACCCCCTCTGAAAAATAACTTTTGTTAACGTGAATGTTTGTTAATTTAGTGAATAATTTACAGGTTGTTCACCTGGTTCTTTATTAGAAACAATTTTTCCGTTAATGAATTGTTCTATGCCTTTTATGTACAGTATTATTTCTGTAATTTAAGTCTGACGTACATAAATTCGATAAATTCGACACAAACAAATCCTTTGGTAAATTTAAACAAAGCAAGAACAACAAGGTTTTTGCAAAAACCTATAGACAAAGACAAAAATTTTTGTTTTAAATCTAAACTGATTGATATTGCAAATCAGTACTATATTTCGGCAACTACACATTTAAAACTTTTGACGAAGGATCATATGCCAGCACTGGAGAATTTACAATTGTATAATAAGATCATTATAATAAGACCAGATGGGGCTCCTGGTATCGTAATAGTGAACCAAAAGATTATGTGTATGAAATGTTCCGTATTCTCAACGGTACATCAAGATTCCAAATCGACAAATATGAAGAAAATACCATTCCAAGAATCGAAAACAGAGTCAATAAACATCTCTAAGAACTTTTGAAGAAGAAACTCATTGATAATTTAACTTACAATAATCTGAGTACAATAGGATCACGACTACCTTTTGTATATGATCTCCATTAATTGCAAAAATCCAACATCCCGTCAAGACTTTTACTGTTTATGGTAAACTCACCATAAGTTCACTCAGTGGTCAACCAAATTATTAGAACCAATTTGTATAAAACTGGCGGCCCATAGTTAAAAATGCGCAATTCAGTTTTTAAAAGAGATGGATCAATTGAATATATGAGATAAAGTCATAGTATCTTCTGACATGTGTTCATTATTAACGAGTATACCACCAGAAGAAACTTAATATAATTTACGACCAATCAGAATTGCTTCCTTTGCCTAAAAAATGAGTTAAGAAATCTGTTACTACTTTGCACGAAAGGGGTTCGTTTCCAACTTATCAATCAACTATACAATTAAGCCGATGAAGTGGTCATGGGGCCTATGTTGGCCGATATCTTCATGACTAACCTAGAACAAACGAAACTAAAACGCGAAATCCAAAACACAACATACTACGCCAGATATGTTGACGACACGTTCTTTATCTGTGATGATATGGACCACGCTTCTCGGTTACTTAGCCACTTCAACAACTCTCATCCCATCATAACGTTCTCAATTGAATATGAAAGACATAGTCTAATCAGTTTTTTTATATCTTAACGTAAGACAAAAAAGTGATTGAAGTCTTGAGAAAAATATACATAGGAAATAAATATTAACAGGACAGTATTTGAACTTTAACAGCTTTTGTCCTATCATTTACAGAAGTGTCTGTTCAAAAGGCTCTTCAATAGATATATGATGTTATGCTCAAATGGCAAATTAAATAAGGAATAGGTTGTTCAGAAAAAGTATCTCATTAAAAATGGATATCCGAGGGAATTTATTACGAACTTCGGAAAAATATCCCAAAATCATAAAAAACCAAGTATTGGGAAGAAACCTGTCTTCATTCACCTTCCTTTTAAGGGAGATAAGATTTCAGGAAGAATTGATAGGAGAGTCAAGGCGGCGCTGAAAAGGTTTCTTACTGCTCAGTTGGTTTCACAATACAACACCGTGTTCTTTATGGCATTCAAAGTTAGGTCAATACCATTCTGACGTCAACTCTAATTACATTTATGAATCTACATGTACTTACGGCAACAATTACATAGGAAGGACAGAGAAAAGGGTCTTCACGGCGTTTTCTGGACACATTATTAGGAATCTGTGGCTGAAAGCGTGTAAAGTCTTTACAAGCGCCAGAAATATTTTGGATAGTGCACATGAAGTGAAGTGAGATATCCGTCTATCAATTAAGGGACGAGTATACTGTTCAGCAGTTCGTTCTGTTTCACTTTACGCCTGCGAAAAGTGGTCATTAAGAGTAGAGGTTACTCTTAAATTACTAGTTTTTAACCACAGATGCCTTAGAAATATTGCTGGGATCTGACGGGATCACCGGGTAAATAATAATAAGGTTAAACACATGGTATTAGGAAATGATGGTAAATCAGTTGATGAGGTGATGAATCTTCATCGACTGAGATGGTTGGGCCATGTGTTACGTATGCCTGAACACCGATTACCACGACGCGCTATGATGACTAGTATTGGGGATGGTTGGAAGAGAGTTAGGGGCGGCCAAACCAAAAGGTGTCATCAGTGTTTGAAGTCACTAACTTCTAGCCTGAGCCATGTTGGCAGATGCAGATTACCTGGTTGGGGTTCGCGTGACTATCGTAACCAATGATTGGAGACTCTGTGTGACATGGCTCAGAATAGATCACAATGTCGTAGGTGTATGCATTTTTTTCTTCCCTCAAACTGTGAGATATTTTTCTTTCTTCCTGTATTATATTCTTATAAACAATCTTCTAAATGTTACCACCATTGAAGTGATTGCTTTTATGAATTTAATGTTAATCTTGTGTTAATGAAATGAGGCAACTTGGACCGATGCATATATGTGCCTGGTCCTACGTTGTAGCTGACTGACATTACTTTGATGCACTGTCTTCATAACAACTAAGCTACTTAAATATATATATAGTCAAATTTCTTACGTTTGGTGACACAACTCAACTTATTTTTCTCTTTCTCTCTGTAGTTTTATGTACCTTAATCGTTATTTCACAGGCTTAGTATAGTTCTTGTTTATGATATAATTGTGGATGAGGAATACTATAAAATGTTTTATATCGAAGATATTATGTTGATATATTTTTGAAAAAGTAGATCCATACTATCTAGTCGATTATACACTAAAACCAAAAAGAAAAATAATCATCGTTCATGTTCGAGAGGATTATTAGTTCCACAATTAACTGGACATATCATTTTGTACAGAGCATTCCTGTTTATTCCACTTTTTCTCCTAGTAACAATTTGAATATTATTTAATCAGCTTATCTATTTATTTGTAACAGTAAATAAGGCATAGGTAGGTTTATCTGTCTAACTGATGTACATGTTATATGTTGTTTGTCTATTTTGTATTTTAAATAAAAACTCCATCAACATTAATGAATAATTTTATCATAAATATTTTGATTCATTTTGTTCTGAAAATAGATGAATCTGTATTTGCATCGACAATCATACAAATATGTGAGAATGAAGATTCTGATGTACCTAATTTTATTGTTCGTGCAATTCGTGCTATTGAAGCTCGAGGTAACCTTGTTTTGTTATATATATAACATCACTTTTGTACTTTTTTTCACCTGTTTTGTGTTTGGACCACTTACAGATTAAAATTCAAACAAAAATTCCATCACAACATTGTTGTGATCTTTTATGATATGATTAGTGCTGTTTTTCTAATGCTGTATGTAATAATATATATTATCATATATGATCAATTGGGTCATCCATACCACAACCGGATATTTCTTCTTAAGGAAGCTATGAGATAAACGGAACTAGTATTCAAGATCATGACGATCTGGAAGCCTGTTTCAAACCAGTTACGCACTGCATTTTTGTAAATGGACTTTGTTGTGTTGGTTGTCTTGGTACTTTTAAAACCATACCACCACTGTCAGAAATCCAGGTGATATTGGAAAGTAAATTGTTTTCTGCACGGAACTTATTGAACCCTTTCTTCACTTCCGTGTCAAGACAGCGTCGTTAGATTTGCTAGTTATTCGTGGTAAGAACATTAATACCAGGATATAAGTAAGCATGCTTATCAACACCTAAATTTATAGGCTGGTAAATCACCTACAAAATCGAAATCCAGCATCTAATCACATTTCAAATGAATTTAAGCAATATTCGATTTGTGTAAAATATTTTATACATAATCATCTATTTTCATTCTATAAAACGGTTCATTTTCATTGGGAACTTGTTCGGGATTTTGTTATCCGTTAGCTATAAGCTTTTCATTGCAATAATCCGGACTTACTTGACCATATTGGTCTCATAAAGTCAAACGAGCGGAAATTAGTGTCTTTTCTCTGTGGGATGGCGCAATACATTCGACTGATACCACGGATTAGTTTGGTCTCTCTTACAATAGCTAACTTCGATCATCAAGGTAGGCGGTTGGTCGTGCATAACAACAACCTCAGATGATTAAGAATCACAAGTTCATCAACCTATTTGTTATCTTTGCTTAATTTTCTACGTCCAAACTCATTTTCGGTCGCCTAGTCGTTCCACAATACGCGAATAGCTCTTGAAATACGCTTATGATCAAAACCCTCCAGACTGCGCTTGCTTCTATTTTCATAAACTGTGTTTCGTAGTCATCGAGTAGGGCAAAGCAGATTACTTCTCGCTATACGTTTTCGTTGGTTGACAGACGTACATCTCGCCTGTACCACAAGTAAATCTAGTTTGAAAAAGCATAACGAGGTTTCTGAGGTCATTGTGCGATTTGGTCAGACACTAAAACACAAAGTGTAACGAAACTCATGTCATTCAACAGACTTCAAATTACATCTTAGTATTCACTGAATGAGACTTCATTATTTGTGTACTCTAAGTCGATAACTGAATCCCATATATCCCGACCAAGACTGGTTAAATTTCAGTCAAGAGCATCAACACCAGTGGATGGCTATCGGGACTCGGCAGCTCATTGGATAATGCGATGGCATTTGAAGCGAACGGGTTTGAGTCCCGGGATGTAAATCAACTCTGAGATGCAGGTACATGCAGCTGATGAATCCTAAATGCAACGTAACATGAGTCCTAGATCTTAAGGCTAGTCACACCCCATCTATTTTATACTGAACGTAATTGTTTTTTTTAATGTTAATCCATGGATATTCAAATTTAATAATTTTTTGTTTTACTTTTCCTATCAAATATTTAGGACTTGATCATGTTGGGATTTATCGATCAAGCGGGAATGGTGCTACAATCCAAAAACTTCGTTGTGCCGTTAATCAATGTAAGTAAACTGAAAGATACTGTTTATTTATTTACTGTAAATTGATAATTTTAACACGACTGCTTGAAATTGCTTTTAGTATTCAAATTGTGTATAAAATCAATAATTGTTTGTTTTTCTGCTACAAAAAGGCGTCACGGTGAGAATATAATTTATAGACGACCTTCGAGCCACGCTTAAGTGACCTTGAAAGTGTCCACCTTACTAGGACTAAATAAGGGTTATAAAGCAGTTTGAAGAATAAGGACTATGATTTACATTTGATGGTGAGGGCTAGGAATTAGATTTTTTGTTTTCATCGCGAATTGACATCAGCTAAATTACCAAAATATGTGAATGAATTTCGCGCCAAAATCCAAGGCCGGTTATCCTAAATCTGATTTGTTCGTCCATAAATTATAATGTCTCCACTGCTTATTTACTTACTTAAATTTAAGGACTTAAGTAGTTTAATGAACCCTCTCTTTCTCTATGTTATCCGTTAAAGCTGAAGATCAATCGTACTAACACATACTCGATCGTTATTTAGGATACTATTTTTCATTTGATTATTGTGTGAATATCTGTGGTTTTATATATATCCTAATCTCACTGTTTTTCATGTGATTTCAATAATAGAATTAATTTCAGCATTATATCGAATGATCACCTGATAACTAGAGTTCGATTTGCATTCATTTAGACAAAACCTAAAAACAATCAACCGGAATAACTGTCAGTTATATATTTAAATATTTTTGTTCATTTAAGCATAGAATTACACTTTAGTATGAATAAATAAACTTATATTACTACATTATCAATGTTACATATGTGAGTGGTATTTTTGTGCTTCAGAAACATCATATACTGATATTTAGTGTTTGACATTTCCTTTTTTGTTTATAGTATTCATGATCAATTGTGACTCTCAATTTGAGAGTAAATAGTTACAGTTGCATAACTGGCAAACATTCTACTAAGCACATTTCTGGATCTAGTGAGGAATTACTAAAATCATATAAGTCAATCGACTTCTTATATAAAAAGTCCTTCTGTTGCTATGTCCTTTTGTTTGGAAATTTCAAGTATACAGTTTGTTACACTACTATTTTACCACAGACATATGAATTGTGTAACATTTGTTAACAGTTTGTTTCCGTTGTTGTAACAATTCAGGAACAAAACCATTGGCAATGAGTTAACCATTGGTTACCAGCCTTCAGTTAAAATCTAGCAAGCTTTCAGTATTTCGGCCCTTGAATGTGAATGAATCGAAGACCTGCTATTTTAAATCTAGTTGGTTCGTCCATAAGTTATAGTCTCGGCACACTTTGGATTTGAAACCCTTTGGAATACTTTAAAAAAAGACTGTAGGCTTCATGTTGGTTGACATTTGTGTACGGAAAGGTTAAAGGTACTTATATTTACTCGGCGATTTCAATACAGATCATATCGAGGACACTACTAATGAACTGTTCGGTTTCGACAGATACGTTCACATAAATCAACCACTTTATAACGATCACTATCATATCTTTTTTCAGTGCTGATTACATTCTCTTTACCAATTTATGTGGCCAATAGTTTAATTGGTAACTTAAACCAATCGATAGTGACTTGCTGAATTACTTAAACCTAACAATAATCTCTTAATTTTGTTACTAATTCCAAACTTTTCAATTTCTTTTACTGTTCTCCAAAAAAAGCAACTGTTTATCAGTGATGAATACAAATGTGTATACTTTTTCATTTGGTTTTTGATTATCTTGTTGGTGTTACATAGAAAAAATTACCGTTAAAATGCAATTTTGTTGTATATTTTCATTTTAATTGCATCATTTGGTTATAGTGACAATAGTCATCATCATCATATCAAAACAAAAAAAGTAGTGATAACATTTTATTATTATTGTTACTGCTTTTATCATCATTCACGTATGTTCAATGATGTCAGTTAATATACAGTGTATTAAATCAATAAGTTGGACACAAATCTCTACTGACTCATTATTATTATTATTAAAATAAACGAAATCAATATTTAAACATGACTGGATAGTATAGTCTGATAGGGTCGAGGGTGGGGAGAACCCGCTCTCCCTTTTGAAATGCTCTCATATGGCCACGTGTATATAGCCTCTGCCAGGGAATTCCTACTCACTGCCTTCTCGCACCATGGGTGTTGTTTACAAAATTGAGAGGACGAAAAGCGAGTGCCCGGCGCTTCAACTGGGTCGGTGGACACGGAGGGTTCACTTAGGGGAGTTAGAAAACCCTGATTCCAAACCAATGGTGCACATAGACTCTAGGATCCTAAGGAAATAAATGGCGTATAAACCAATTGTTGGTGACCGGCTATCAAGGGACTGCATCTCCTTACGAAGCTCCACTGCCTTATGGATTAGACCTTTAGGTTAAAGGCTCGGAGTGTGGTCCCCTAAGAAAACCACGTTCTTCGGTTTGGGCTCTCGAGCAGTACCCTAGCCCTCAGACAAATCGAATGATTTATGTGGCACACATATATTTAGTGCCTCCTTGTACCAATGTTTATGTGATTAAATAAATACTAAATACTTATAATCTTAATTTGAATATCCTACTGGAGATGCTCTGAGCAATTTTCAGAAAGAAATACTGGATTTATGTAAATTTCAATCTCTGGGATTTTTGAAGCATAATTTTTACATATAATTCTCTGATGCTTGATTACTTTTTACTATTGAATCTAGTCTAGTAATGTTTTTTTTTGATCATTCAAGCAAAATGAATATCACTAAACCAAGTGTAGCTTAAATTTCTTGCACCTGCTTCCTATACTACTTGATAGTTTTTTATGCATCCCCGCTTTTGCATTCCTCAGAGCTGTCAATCAATAATATTAATAATTTCATAGATGATATAATCGTTTATTGTTATTATTATTATTTTAAGATGGATATAGAGACCAATAATTTGTTCAGTGATAAGCTTCTTAATGAAAATGAGTTCCTCAAATTACTCTGTCACTAGTTTCAAGATCAAACGTAATTATAGCTAGAAGTAATATTTTTCTCATCCTTACACAACCTTATACATTTGGACAAAAAAGTATGAACTTAAACATATTGAACATGTATTTCCATAACACGTAAACTAATCTATATTTCTTAATATTCACGAGTCATACCCTCAGAATCTGTCTCTAGAGGTAAAGAAAAAAACCACAATCATTTTGATGTGATCTAGACAAAACTGTGCAGACGTCTTCCATTCCAAATGTCACATTATATAGCAACAAGCATTCTGTTAAGAACAAACTGTTCTTTTTGTTCTGTTGTTATAATACAACATGCAATAAGTTGATTAATCAAAACTGTGTTTTAACTTGAACATAATGAAACTGACAATCGACAGTTACTATGGTTGTTTACACACATTTTATGTTAGATGCATAGAAAGTCAATTTATGTACATTTCATTTGTATTAATCATATTATGTAATAGTATTACTATACTAGCTTAATTGGTTGATAATTAGTAAGATTAACAAATTGATCTTTTGCCTATGAGACTGTTATTCAAATGTTAATCAGAAGAATTTGTGTAGGCAGTACTACTACTAACAATACTATTGCTACTGCAATGAACGATCAATTAGCGGAGATAGCAGATTTATTTTTCAAAACAAAATTACAGAATGTCTTCGTAAAATATGAAAACCATACATTAAATACTTGATTTGCACATCATCCATCAATTGTTTCCTACAAACTTCATCGTACTTTCATCCCTGTTATTATTACAATTTCTCTCTGTTTACATTCCTGTTCCCTTCAATTCAGTTTTCTTAACCTCCTGTTGCCAGTCTTTCCACTTCTGATAAGTGTTACATACTACTTATGTCGACAGACATAAGTAGCATACATCACACTACTATCGACTGATTGCATATTCAGTAATGAAAACCACAAATTACTCAATCAAAATAGTATGACTATGATCTTTTCGTCAGTTTTGACTTAATAAATTGTGATAGTTCGAAATATAAGATAATCTATGTGTTTTTATTCAATCCTACCTCGTCTTAACTAGTAAGTGAAGGTGGGATTTTAACATTCAGGCTGTAGACATTTTTTAAACCTTTGAATCCTATTTTAAACCGAAGCCTCCCTATTTAAAAGTTTTTAATAAGTAATTTATTATGCTATACAGTAGTTAGTAGGTAGTCTGTTTATCCTAATGAAGTTACATGTTTTTACTTGCTAAGTTACACAAGCTGTAGTTAAAATTTATCAATCAAACTATCCAATGTTTCTATCTATATTATCTACTTTAAGTTCATTCTACATTCTAGTGTATTTACGATGAATAACATGTGTTGTTCTATTACTTAATAAACTACACTTTATCATTGTTTACTTTTAAATTTTTATGTATATATGTAATCTATGTGTTATTATACTATCTGATATTGATATGTATAATTAACACATTTTTGAAGTTTTGGTGAAAAGCCATGACCTAAAGAGTCAACTGAATTGTAAATAAAGACAATTTCACCAATCAATAATGCCTAGATAAAAATCGTGTTATGTCTCCTTAGATTTAAATAGAAGTTTGAAAATGTAGAATGTTGCGCATTATGAACACATTAGCTTAATGGTTATGCTTGCCATCTGATATAAACGGGAATATTAAAATAGTTTCTATTTTTACTGTGTACTACTATAATAAGGCAATACAATCGGTAGTGAAGATCATATTACCTTTAGACTGGAAAATTACTTACGCCTGTTATCCGCCGTCGAGGAGAAAAGGCCTCTCACCAAGATTCTCCATCGAACTCTGTCCTGAGAAATTTTTTCCACTTGTTCCCGGTTGCTATTAATCCTTTTGATGTCTACTTCCAATTCTCGACGCAGTGTGTTCCTTGGTATTCTTTTCCTTTTTCCTTCAGGATTTTCGAGTAGAAATCAATAATAAAAAAGGAAAATAAGGCATCTAATGTTTAGTAAGCGAAACGTCTCTGCCCACACTCAATGGTCACCCACATTTTATTTCCACTACAAGACATCAGCATCATTATTCACTTTAAATAATAAAGTTCAGTCTTTTAGGTGATTATGAATATGAACTGATATGGAGTGTCAACCAAGGATGAAATAGTTGTACCTTGGTGCATACTTTTCAATAATTCTTCAGTTAATAAAATGACTTTCAAATATCATTTCTAGTTTAACTATCTTTTTATTTCATATTATCGTTAATATTGTTTTAATGATCAATCGAAATACTTGTTTCTTGATTCAGTTATTATTGTTATTATTATTATAGATAACTACAGTTTAAATTCTGAAAAATGGAGTTTAGAGGTATTAACAGGTGCATTGAAATTATTTTTTCGAGAACTTAAAGAACCACTTATAACATTCAAAGTGTATCCAGAAGTTGATCAACTCTTAGGTAAATTCATTATTAATACAGTAAATAACATTTGCCAGTGTTTTTTTTCTTTTCATTATCCTTTTTTCACTGTTATTGAAATGACTTATAATCAATGTTGTATATAGAGTGATAGCCGGCCTACCATTCGGGTGTGTGTTAAGGATAAACTTCTTAATCTTTAATGATGATTTATCCTCGAGCTCTTTGCAATCCACTACGCAATCAGAAAATAAGGACAACAAACAGATTAATTCTTGTTTGAACTCTACTCAAAATTCATAGAATACTATACCTCGAATACCTACTCTGGCAGTACAAAAAATAAGAGATTATAATGTATACACAACTCAGCCATAAGTAATACAAAACAGAGCAATAAAAAATTTAATAAATAGTGAAAAATCTGGAACAGTAAGACGTAGAAAAACTATTCGTGTGTCAAGACAAAACGTACAAATATGAGAAGATAATAATACAATACCCCAGACGTCTAATAGTTTCTCAATACAAATATAAACAATAATTTCCATTAAGGATGTTTATGGAATATCAACTACTCTCTAATCCTCTTCGAAATAACCAGTTTTAAAGTGATTCTCATCTTAAATGGACGCAAGTCCTAGTACATTATGTTCCTATTACGAGATGTGAATGTTTCCAGATGAAATGTTATGTTTGCCGAAGACATAGCTATTATATGTCTCAAGTCAGGTTTGTGTATTCAGAGGGAGTGGCGAGTCTTTTTTTTCCATCGTGATGTTATCGTCAATATATTAATCATTCTCATAACTCTCCATTATTTTTATTGCATCACTCATATCAAATCCATGATTTCATTTTTAACTAGCTCATCTCAACTCATATTATTCTTGATTACTATTAATTTTTGTCCTCATAGCATAATCAGTTAATTGTCTTAGGTCTGTAACCTCTGAAAATCCATAATCTTCTCTCAAATGTGATGTTCATTTACAACGTACTACGTCTTCAATATTACTGCACTTTTTTCAAATCTCTCCACGGTAATGCTACATATCCATATCTAACCAATATCAGTGTTAAGTATGTTAACTTTGTCATAACTTTTTGAAAGCAATTAAAGGGACATTGCTATTGATCATAATATTATTTTACCTAGCTACTGAAACAACTATGAATTGGTTATTTAATTGCTAGCGAGTGGTGAATTTACTTAGCTTTCTGTAATTACATGCTAATTTCTTCCTCACTGGATAATTTCTATGACATATTTCCGCTATGAACTTTAGTGTTAACTGATTATTTGTTATCGCTTTTAGTTTGCTAGCTTTGTTATGTTCCCCAAGGTCATTGCATATTACTTTCTGAACAAAGTTGTTCTTCTTCAATTATCAACTTCTGTTCTGTATATAAAGCTATCCTGAAAGTTCTATCTTCTCTATCTCATGTTAGCTTGCGGATTATTAAAGATGACCTGTTGTGTTTTAAACATGTAGTATGTTGAAATTCATATTCGTTCTCGTTCATCTTAGAAGATTCGTAGTACATAAAATAGGGTTTACTGTAGGCCGTCTGAAAAAAACCAATACATAATCGCTTTATATCATCTATAATTATGAGCCATTCTTGAATTGGATTTCTTTTTATTAAATATACAGGTGATAATGATTTAGCGTCAGATATAAAAGTGATTAAAATGAGAGAATTGATCAATTCTATGCCTGTCCCACATATCAACACATGTCGAATATTTTTTCATCATTTGTACAGGTAAGATGATGAAATAAGTTGGGTTTTTTAAAACAAATTTTCAGTATAGTACAGACATGAAAATCTGTCGTGATTTAGGATTATATGTATATATGAACTCGAAATGTACTTGGTTTTCAACCTCGATAGCTACGGTTACATCGTTCGACTAACCATTAATGACTTCTTGGTCATTGCTTGAACATAGAACTCTATGTAGGTTTTAATTCATTCTCATGAAACCACTGTCAAAAATTGTTAATGCCACTACCAAATGAAATTCACTTCAAAATTTTCTTTGTCGCCGTCACGTTATGTTCTTAAGATCAAGGATAAAAAAATGGATATCAAGATTTCCAGATGATTCAAGCATCCAAAAAGTGAACTGTAAACATATAACTTCAGGTACATTAAATTAAGTCAAAAAAATAAGTGTTTTGCGCATTTTTCAAAGCAATATACATCCTAGAGAGGATTGTTAAGATTCCAGCTTGTGGAAGTTAGCTTAAGGTATCAACTTTAAAAGTGATTACATGATATTTGAAGACGAAGAACACAATTCCAGACTGATCAATCCTATCTCATCCATATGAAGTGAGAGTTGGAGAGCTTTTAGAGATGAGTGAAGCCAAAGAGAAAATCGATAAAGTTGAGTACATCATTGATGAAATGGAGATAATTCTATTGTATTTTAATCGAAGCTCTTTACCTACTCATACCAGAGTAGCGTGTTTTATCGATATACTGACAGAAAATCAGATAACATAGATATATTTAGTTTTTAGTAATCACAACTTTCTTAAAATCTGTTTTCAATTAACTTCATTTTTTTACACTGTACTGTTTCATTTCATAGAGTAATGCAATTGTCCAGTATCAACCAAATGCATTCTTACAATTTGGCTATTGTTTTCGGACCCAGTTTAATTTGGCCAGAAGTAGAATCTGTTGCATATAGAGCACTTAAGTCTGTACAGGTTCCATGTATAGAATATCTGCTTACACATGTAGAGGAAATATTCGGACCTGTAACCCCACCGCCAGTTATTTCATAAATCCATACATAAGAATAAATACTGTTTTTAATATTTTATATGAATAATAGGTTAATTTCAACCATTTCTTCAAATATAAACACAACGCACTGCTCAAAATTTACTTTTTTGTTTGCGACCTAATTATCATTATCAGCTTTAGAGTTATCATCAAATATTTTTGATCTCTAATTTTTTTAAAGTCCATATTATCACAACAACACATGTATAGTGTGTATTTTTTGGCCCCTTTTTTGGAAACACGCACCGAGTAGTAAAGTAATTTTTGAATTTTTTAAAATTCTATACGACACATCCCTTAAATTTATTTGCTTTCTAGTAAACACTTGTTTGTAATAAACAATCACTTTATACTTGCTAAAATAATTGCAAAAATGTGATACAAAATAACACTTAGCACTGTAATTTTTTTCTTGTTTTCTACTACATTGTTAGGGCTTGAATGATTTCAACGAATATCTTCTAATGTCTATAGTTTTCGTTTTGTTTAAATTGATTCATTTGTTTTACTAGCCATTTTAGCAATTTTTTTATAACGTTGTTGTTATGGTTGATGAGGCAGAATTTTCGATTAAGATCAACAGGTAGAATGTTAAGCGATAGGTGAACAGAACGATGTGATTTAGTTAAGTGTTGGCCACTCACAAGACCGTATTATTGACTTATTTCTTTGAATAGTTAAAAATCAGGAACAAGACCACTAAACAGATGTAATGAAACATGTTCATATACAGCATACGAACACAAGATAAGAATGATGAAATGTCATAGGCGATTTGGAGGGAATTAGTTTAGTTAGGTCACTTATTCTTCAATCAGTTGAGACCTGAATGTTTGGCCTCATTCCTAAGCATTGTATCAGAACTTATTAGAACTAATTTCTGTTTTTCTCTTACGTTAATTGTGCTAGTCACCGATAAAACACAGTGCTTGCGTAATTCAGAAATGTTGAAGAATTAGTTAGGTTCGTTTACCAGATCACCTATTTCGGTTTGATCAAAGGGGGTGGCCCAAATCTGAGTAGTTTTACCTTATAATTGGTAAATTAGTTAAATTTACTAACACTAAATACTATCAGTTGTTTAGAAAAAAACTCACTCGGAAAGAATTAGATCAATTTTAAATCTACAATGAAATCATCAATCGCCTGCTATTTCAAGAATATCAGGATGACATAATCATATTGTTGTTTCTGCATGCATTTTACTGATTATTAGGGTGTTCAGCTGAAACAATTCTGAACTGTAATAAAATAAATAAATTTTCAGATAGCTACCGATTTTTCCGTTTCCAGTTTTCTTTCTCTGCCATACATTGATGTCGTACGGAAGAATTGGATGTCCAACTTATCAAACCTAAGCACTACTTTGTTACACTTTTATTGATCAATTAATTAGTTTCCAACTTATTTAGAGCTTCATAACTTGTTCTTACCTTCATAGACAAAAAGATCATTTCAAAACCTTTAGCAGTATAATGCAATGATTCAGGTTACAAAGCTTGATGTAATAGAGGAAAATGTTAACAATATAATTAAACAAAATCATAAGATGATCAGAATTTACGATAACAGTCTACGCTAATATCATATATCATTCGATGCAACATTAGATTGTCAAACTACTGGGTTTCGTAACAATGACCACAGATTCCGCAATACTCTATGCAGGTCGGTATCATATGTAGTTGTCCAAATTGTCAGTTTGACTTTTCAGGTTCCTACCGTTGTAGACCAGGTCCATATAATTTCTTGATGTGATATAAATCTCAAGATACAGAATATCTCCTAATCACCTTAGTCAGTGCATATTAACACCATAACTCCCGACCGTAGCTGCTACCTTGAAGTGGTGGTCGGGTTTGCCTATCATGATGAACCAATCGAGCGATACTGGCTGGAACAATCGTTCCTCAAGGTCCTACTATGCCAGGCAGGTCGGTTGAACATCGGTAAGACTAAAAGCAATAAACCGAAGGCGAAGTTGTACTACTGACTGTAGAGGGGTGTGACAGCAATAAGATGTTTCCCTCGGACAACCAGCATCAGCAGCGATGCTGCCTTCTCACAAGGAAGGAATGAATCAGAAAATGTCACACCTTACCTTACAAATTTCCGTCTCCGGCGGTAAAGCCATTTGAAGAACTGAGCTAACACATCAAAAATCTCCCACAAAAGGCCGTGCGTGACCGACCTCAAGCAGTTGTCCCCTGGACTCTGCCGTCACGCTCCCAGGTCGTTAAGACCAACATAATTCCAACTTCCTTTTCAGGTCCCTCAAGAAATATCCCTCCACGGTGTGCGCAGCCGGGAAGTGACATCAGCCCTCATACCTGTAACAGCACACGAGACCAAGTTCGTCACATTCAAATTCTTCCTACACCTCCTAATAATTGTCTCCACGACTAACCCTTCTCACGTCCTTTTATCACCTCGCACCGCTAATGCAAACGATTCGAGTGCGCGGAACGTTATTCTCGGTCTCCTGAAACCACGCTCTAAACTACAGGTAGGAGCTTTTAACGTCCAAACATTGTGTTAAATAGACAACAGGCTTCCGTGCTAGGACTTAAAGATCTCGCACCATCGATGTGCGCTGCGTCTCCGAAACGCGCATACAAGATCCGAGTAGCGTCATTCATCCGACCTCATCATATAATAATAAAGAACCATCTCGATTCACGCTTAGTTTATCTGAAAGCCCTGATGCTGCTTCCCGTTGCCTCGCTGGAGTAGGTATAGAATTAAGTCCTAGGACAGAACTAGCTCTTTGAGACTGAATCCCAGTAGACAGTCGTCTGTGCGCTGTCCGACTAAACGGAACAGTAAGGACTCGGAAAAATGAAAACACTCGTCGTCGTCTCTGCCTACTCTCCCACTGACTGCAGCTCAGATGATGTAAAAGATGAGTTTTACAGAAGGCTTTCCGATCTTCTCTGAAAAGGTAAGCGCTCTTATGTAGTAATAGTGGCTGGTGACTTTGATGTTCAGGTAGGCGGACTAAGTGAATGGGATTTTATGGTGTCGTGGCTCAAAAAACAGATATTGGCGACCGTCTGTTGCAGTTATGCTCAGATAACTGCCTGTTTCTTGCAAATACTAACTCTAAGCACAAGTAAAAACATATTTTGGAACGGCGACCCCCGAATTCGTCCCAACGTTGGACTCAACTAGATTACATCGCTATCAGCGACCGATAGAAAACTGTCGCTCATTTTTGAGCACATGCTTAGATTCAGATCATGTCTAGTACGATCATGTATCTTTCTGCGTCCTACTGGACGTAGGAAAGACACTGCAGGGAAGCGTTTTAGGGTTCTACTCAATGATAGGCATGCTAAGAATATATTTCAGGAACAATTGGAAAAACAGTGAGGCAGCAGGCTAACAAGAAGCCTACGCAATGATCGCGAACAGTGGTGGGTAGCGAAAACAAGAGAAATAGAAAAGACAGCTGGAATAGGCAACAGCATTTGACTCCATTGACCTTGAGGTCCTATGGCAGTGTTTGTCACTGAAAGGAGTACCAAAGAAGTACATTACCTCATAAAGGCTCTCTCCAAAAGAGTCAAGCAACAAAGCAGGGATGCAATTCTCCCCTCCAAATGCAAAATTTCACTTCAGGATCGGGTTGCATCGACACCTGAACTAATGATAGGGAGTGAAGTAGTTGAGCGTGTTGACAGCTTCACTTATCTTGGGAGTCTCATCAGCCCTTGTGGTCTGGTGTGTGACGAAATCTCAGCACGGATGCAGAAGGCTCGTCTAGCTTTCGCCATCTTGCGTCACTTATGGCGTAGGCGAGATATCCGTCTAGCAACAAAAGGACGGGTTTACTGTGCAGCAGTTCGCTCCGTCCTACTTTATGGCAGTGACACATAGCCGATAAGAGTAGAGGATATTCGTAGGCTACTAGTATTCGATCATAGGTGTCTTCGACGCATTGCTCGTATATCCTGGAACCACCGGGTAAGTAATTCAGATGTTAGGAAACGGGTACTAAGTAAGGATGGCGAATCAATTGATGAAGTAGTGAAACTTGATCAGTTGAGATGGCTGGGACACGTGTTACGAATGCCCAACCACCGACTCCCTCGACGTGCGATGCTTTGTGGTGTACAAGTGGGTTGGAAGGAAGCTAGGGGCGGCCAGAACAAAACATGACATGGATCCATGAAGTCGCTGACAAGTGGACTGGGCCGTGTTGGTAGGTGTAGACTACCTGGTTGGGATCCTCGAGATGGTAGCAATCGATGGTTAGAGACCTTGAATGACATGGCTCAAAATCGTTTGCAATGGCGAAGGTGCGTCCACTCTTTGTGTTCTGCCAAATTCTAGTCTTCTGAATTCTTCATGTCCCTTTCTTTTTTCTTTCCAAATTTATTTCACTGGATTGTGTTTCTTGAATAACATTTTCAAACCCTAGTCTTTCGGATTCCTACTCTTACTACTTCTACCACAATGGGATTTGAATCGACAACTCCATATCTGTGCTAATGTGATATGGCAACTCGAACTGATGTACGTACGTACGAAGTTCTACGTTGTGACTGACTGAACACGATAACTCTCAATGTTTCTCGTAGACATTGTGTACTTTATGGCCCCGTCAGCAACACTGATAGTTAAATGCATAGAACTATATGCTCTTTATTTGTTGAATTTCTGTCGTACAACAGAACAGTTCTGAATTTTAAACATCATACAGCCCGACGCACGTTTTAACACCGCCACCACAATGAACGTTGTCAGTCATCTGGGTTGACAGGCCTCTTTCTCTACGCCTGGTGAGGAAATAAGTCAATTGCTCCTAAAACACGTGTTTGGTCGTACTAGTTATCACACATTTGATAGGTGTTACGCACGTCCAATAATTTTGATATCCGATTAGGATTCGGTAAATGTAGCTTGATGTAATTAGATCATATCGTCTTTACTAGGCTGATTTAAGTGGTAATAAATTCAGCTACTGATCTTATTTTATCGACCGAAATATTCGATGGCATCAATTAAAAGCAAGCAAAAGTGCAATCATCATATAATTTAGTGTAATTTACATAAATGCACAAGGTACAGATCCTTCATCACAAATCTATCAGGCAACATTGCCCTCTTAGGTACTACAACCGTTTGAGCGCTTTGCGAAATGACGAGTTATTGCGTTGTGCCACTTTAGAATGTGTACGCGTATCAGTCGAATTACCTGACCTGAAACGATAGAAAACAACGAAATACCGAGACTTTGAGAACAAAGGAAAGTTTACCACGTAATTTTATGTTATTTTGTAAAGATAAAGTTGCTAGATAATGGTTACAAACTTAAAAAAACGTTACTGCTGAAGGTTTTTATGAGCTAATGTATGTTCCATTGGATAAAAATAACTCCATTTACAACAAATTTAGGAAATGACATAACCTACTGCTAATATTATGAACAGCTTAATCAATATTACGAAACAACTGTATATAAGGCCCTAAAGAGGACACAAATATTAATGTAACAAGTTTTATGTCATAGTTACTCATATTTATTTACTGTGCAAAAAGTCCGAGTTGGAATTCGCTTGCCAACTTTAAATTATTGTATCATCGATTGAAAAAACTGACCCTAAACGGCAACTTACATGACCATAACTAAAGCTAATAAATAATTAAACGAGGATAAAACATACAAACGGAACATGCGTATCATTACCAGATTACATGAAGAAAATATTTGTTAAAGCTGAGCGAAAAACCTAAATACGAAAGGTTATACTGTGCATTTCATGGAATTTCACTCATATCATTACCAATACATATCGCGACTAAAAATCTGAAAATATTCGTGTCCGAATTTTCTGACCATTGGTCTGATAGGTGTCAGAGGTATCTAACTGTCATGCCCACGACCCAATAAATCGGCAACGAGAAATAGTTTTAGAAGAGATTCAAAGAAATAACTAACGCACCTATCATGAGAATCCTATATTAACAATAACCTTTGTTTGGGTTCGACATAAAAGCCTTTAATTATAAAATAGAATACTGTAAACAGATAAAAGGAATATGCAACATGGTTTGAACAAAAACTGTCATAAAAATCGAGAAGACACAACTAGATAGATTTAGGAGATAAAACTGTGGTGAACCTTAAACATCTTAGAAGAACACAGTGAGTGGAAGGACAGTGGTATTGTTTCACGTTGAGTTTAATTCACTGTTTTGATCGTAAATTACGTATCAAAACTACCGTTTGCACTTTAATTGAATTTATTTCAGTTAACGTGACATTGTATTTGTGTGTTTTGATTCTGCTTTTGTGTATTTACTGCATCAAAGCATTCTTGGTCGACTGAGGCTTGTTTATTTGATAAGGTTGTGATTTATCTTACATATCTACCTTGCCTATCATTTTGTTTTATTCTAAGATGGTCGGCTCTGTACACAAGTGTGGACAGCCATATTGCCTATTCCCCGTGGAAGAAGGGATGCAATGTGACGATTGTAAGAAGTGGTTTCATAAAATGTGCACCCGCTTAAGCCCTGCTGCCTATAAAAGGTGCTCGAAACCCAATTCTCATTGGCTCTGTATGTTTTGTTGCTCAAGTAAGACATTACTCATACAGGAAGCCATCAGCCTTCTAGCGTTAGCTAAAAAGGTCGAAGTAGGCCGTGCCGGCAACATAGATACTGATAATGAAGATTGTATCAGTGTCGTAAATGCTGCCATGGCAGGTACCAGACACCCAATTTCGCAACAGGAAGCAACAATTTGTACTCCGGTACAACCAATGAAAGCCATGCCATTAAGTACAGAGGGACCAGTCGCTTTAGCAGCGACTGAGGACCCGGCTAGAACCACTATCGTCCAGAATAGTTCCAATCTGGATGCTGAGAATAGTGGCAAATGGATTACGCGGAAACGCAAAAGAGACGGAAAAACACCCAAAGAAAGCGCGCGTATAGTCGGTAAGTCATCGTTGGACTCACGTCCTGAGCATCAGGCAACTCCGCTCAAGTCCATACGTAAGGAAATAATTAATACTGTTGTGGATGGAAATAGTCTAACTTCACCAAATGTTGTTGGGAGTAACTCGCTTGACCCACATGACACTGTCATAAAGAAAGCTAATAGCAAGAAGCCGGTAGCTAACCGGCAGGATCTGACATCACGGTCAAAGGCCGTGAACACGACGTTTAAGGCAGTTAAACAGATGCCTAGTGTAATCATCTGGAACTTGGCAGAATCGAAAGACACTGATCCCGCTAAGAGACATGCCCACGACCTGCAGTTAGTCGGATCTCTCATCAGAAATATACTGCCAGAGGAGGTCCCAGGGGTACATATCTCGAAAGTCATCAGACTTGGTAAGTATGTTGGAGACGAAACCCAACAGAGAAGGATCCTCAAATTAGTACTCGGTAATTTTGAGGAACGGGACGTATTACTAAATAACTCACGCAAAACTCGTGACTCAAACATTCGTATTCGACCTGACTGGCCACTTGAGGATCGGATCAAGTGGAAGAATGCCCTAACAGAGTTAAAAACTCGAAGGCTAAACGGTGAAGGGAACCTTACGATTAAGGGTTTTCGGGTAGTCAGGTCTTGGAAGCCAATGCTTCCGAGACCTGTGTGGGTAGAACGCATGTCTCCAAAAACACTCTAAATGTGTGTTATACGAATGCTCGTAGTCTTCGGAATAAGATGTCTGAACTAAGTTTGATGGTAGACGACTTAAATCCCGATATAATTGTTATCACCGAAACTTGGCTCACTGTAGATATAGACTGTTCTCCAGTCATTTCAGGCTACATCTGTGTCAGAAGTAATAGAGTTAGAAGTCGCAAGGGAGGAGGCATAATATTATATATTAGGGACCACTTCCGCATTAACTCGATCATATCGGAGGCGCATGTAAGTGGTACGTGTGAGGTAGTATGTTGTACAATTAGGTCTAGAAACGGGTTAGTGACGATAGGAGGAATATATCGTAGTCCGTGTTGTCTCGCTGACGACTTTATCCTAAAACACGTCTGTTCTTGGAGTAAAGCAGAATGTTGTCTCATCGTTGGAGATTTCAATGCACCCCATATAAACTGGATAGAGCTCACAGCTCCAGGTGGGGGTTTCGATAGCGTCCTTCTGTCATCAATTATTCAATGTGCACTTGTACAATGTATCGTTAAGCCAACACATATAGACTTGGAACATAATCCGTCATTGATAGACCTTGTCCTCACACACCACTCTGAAGATATCGTTGACATTCAACATCTTCCCCCACTGGTGAATAGTGACCATGTCGTACTTTCCTTTAAGTTACGGATACATGGTATAGAATTTGCATCAGCTCCACCCCGTCCTAATATCTGGAGAGCTAATATTCCGGCAATCAGGGACTATGGTATCTCAATTGACTGGTCGGTCGATGCTGATGGATCGATTGATGATGCATGGAATAGGTTTAAGTCTACGTTCGAATCCGTAACTCAACCGTTTATCCCATGGTCAGCACGTAAGTTATCATATTGCCCTCCATGGATTAATAAGGAAACCCGGAAGCTGTTGAAGCGTAGGAAACACTTCTGGGACTTATTCTTGTCAACAGGTCAGGCATCATTTAAGTGCGAATATAAAAAAATCCGGAATATATGTAAAAAGACCATAGCTAAATCCCGCACGGCTTACGAACGACAGTTGGCATACGATAGCCGTACCTGTCCGAAGAGCCTGTTTTCGTACGTTAAAAGGCGGACGAAACGTAGTGATGGCATCCCCTCATTACTGTTAAGCGAAAATTCAGCTTTATTGGCTGAATCTGATCTGGCGAAAGCGGAGTTATTTGCTAACTATTTCAGTGAAGTCTACTCTACGTGTAGTGTTACAACTACTTGTCCCGTTGACAATGAGATACCAGCCATAGGACCTTTACACGTGACAGAGGATATAGTTCTTCCTTTGATAACTAACCTAAAACCTTGTAAGATACCGGGCCCCGATGGGTTACATACACGTTTGCTGTCGTCGCTTGCGGACATTATCTCAAGACCGCTCACGATGCTCTTCAACATGTCCCTTTCACAGGCTCAACTACCTAGAGACAGGAAAGACGCCATAGTTAGTCCTATATTTAAGGATGGTCAGAGACGGATAGTATCTAACTACCGGCCTGTTAGCCTGACCAGTATAGTAGTTAAGTTACTTGAAAAATTAATTCGGGCTAAGCTACTGAGCCACATAGATTCGTACAATCTGTTAACTCCCGAGCAACATGGGTTTCGTAACAAGCATTCATGCTTGACTAACTTACTCATTGCGAGAGAGGATTGGACAGCTGCACTAGACAACGGCCAGTCTGTCGACGTGATATTTATAGATTTTAGCAAAGCGTTTGATAAGGTTTCACACTTAGGTCTTATGCAAAAGCTCTCGAGCTTTGGAATAACAGGTGCTATACAGGAATGGATAGGAAGCTTCTTATGTGACCACAGACAGAGAGTGAGAGTCAATAGAACTCTATCCGAATGGAAACCGGTCAAAAGTGGTGTACCCCAAGGCACCATCTTGGGCCCTTTACTTTTCCTTCTGTATATTAATGAACTACCTTTATTACTTAAGTCGTCGACGTTATTGTTTGCGGATGATGTTAAAATCTGGAGAACAATAAGAAATGAGATTGATCGTTGTTATCTACAAGCAGATTTAGACGAATTAGTTAGGTGGGCTCATGATTGGGGCCTGGAAGTTAATTCCAGGAAGAGCGTGTTCATGCACATCGGGCACGATATTAGTTACCACTATACCATTAATGGAACATCTCTGCCACGCGTTCATACGCATAAAGACTTAGGAGTAATTATAAGTCACGACTTAAAAACTACTACGCACTGCAGTGCGGTTGCTTCCAAAGGCTATAGCGCGCTATGGTCGCTTCGCAGAGCATTTAAATGCTTTGACGAGGATATGTTTCGAATTTTATATCCCACCTATGTAAGGCCACACTTAGAATACTGTATCCAAGCAGCTAGCCCTTGTCTGATAAAGGATACTAAATCGCTTGAGCGTGTCCAGCGTGTAGGGACAAAATTAGTAAAGGGTCTTTCCAAACTCCCTTACGATGAGCGTTTAAAACGTCTAAATCTTTTCCCCTTATCTTATCGTAGGACGCGAGGTGACCTTATACTGGCATTTCGTATTTTTAATTATGATCTGGGTGTTAATATGTCTTACCTTTTTGCTCCCTCCAGCACTAATAATCTCCGGGGTCATAGCAAGAAGGTTCTGAAACCGCGATCTAATAAACTAAAGGTGGGGTCCCGTTTTTCTCATCGAGTGGTCAATGACTGGAACGCTTTACCAGAACAACTGGTATCAGCACCATCAGTGAACATTTTCAAAAAGAAGCTGGACCTTCACTGGAAGGAAATCTGTCAGGATTAACACAGGTTCATCAACCTACTATCCTTATTACTGAAGACTGAAGACTGACTGAAGACTGACATAAAAGCCTTTAATTATAAAATAGAATACTGTAAACAGATAAAAGGAATATGCAACATGGTTTGAACAAAAACTGTCATAAAAATCGAGAAGACACAACTAGATAGATTTAGGAGATAAAACTGTGGTGAACCTTAAACATCTTAGAAGAACACAGTGAGTGGAATTAAAGTAATATTGCTTGTCTTCCGACTGCAGATTTTCTGCGACATTGGTAACATTGAATTGTGAGTGTAGATTTTGAATTAACATCAAATTTATGCACATGCTAAATCGACTTACATATCGACACTTGCATGCTTGTCTTCATGGGACTTCTGACTACTGATTTTCGTTTGTTCCCGAACGTGCCAAAAAGCATGTACTTCTGTGAGGAGCCGAGCTTCTGTCACAAATTCACTGTAATCTTCTAAAAGCAACTTTCCAGCTTCCTCATTAAGAGCTGATTCTGGATTCGGTTCTATCAACAAACACCTTATAGTCTAAGGAGTGAGTTTCAATTCATTAACTCACTAGAAGGATATGCCGTAGTCCTAAATTGGATTTCCAATCTTTCTTCAGTGTGTTTACACAAACCTCTCCAGTGTTTGGTGCTATGTTTGGATGGAATATTTTCGTGCAAAAATAAGCCTTTGGTGGTTCAATTGGATACTGAAGGGGTATCAACATTTTTAGACGGAATTTGCCACCATCATAAGGGGTACCAACAGGACCATCAAGTACAACCTGAAAAGTATAAAAGAATCGAAATGCCAACTGACTTGAACTTCCGTCATATCTTGCTCATTTAGAATTAACTGAATTCCTTCGACCGGTTCAGCTGTAAAATCACGCCATTCTTTGTACAAACGACGAGCGAATTCCGGAACCGCATTCTCCATCTACACCTGTTGTGGGCTGACCTTCAACTTCACCCGCGCGATTTAAAGGGGAACGGCTTAACGAAGAAAATCATTATTTTCCAATGTTCAATAAAATGTGATATCTAGCATTTTCGTGCATTTATGTATCTGCGTCAAGCTCAACTGGACGATTTAAATCGCGAACATCTCTTTAATTACTAAATCTATCTAATCACATCTGAATACGCTTGTGTATTACATCTCAACTTTCGGAATAAAATAAACAAGCGAAATGAAGGTATGAGCCTGAAACAAATACCCAGTAGAAAATGTGCCCTAGATTGCGAAACTCGTTCAACATACCATTGTGAAAATGGTAGACATTATATAATATATGACAGAGTAAAGTAGATGTATCACATATCCGACGGAAGCGAATCTCATTCCATTTGATACTACAGGGTCAAGAACTTCATGACTGAAACGTTATTTCGACTTGGCTACCAATAGTTTTCCTCCTACCTCTCACCGTGCCAGGCAGTATCACTCGTTTAGATATATAGCGGCTCGATATTCGCCAAATATCCTTTGAAGATACCAACAGTATTGTAGTTTGACAACCCTTTACCAGTAACACCTTCTATAATCGAATCGCGTTCACACAGTTAAATCAAAATTCAGAACTGAAGGGGTTGGGAAGACATATTTGATGCGCTATCAATATATCGAGAAATGACTTATCTAGTCTGGCTAATGATAGTGTGAGATATTTCCCATGCCGTTCTCAAACGTGATCTGGCACGGATGTGTAGTGGATTTCCAGTCGGGGACGGACTATGATCACCACTACAATTCAATTACGCACCCAAAAACGACTTGGTTCCATTGATAACTCGTAAATCAGAAGGCTATGTTAATCCAGATCAAGTATATTTATTGGCGATCTCGTGGTATCATTATAATACCGAGACGTGCCGAAGAGTACAGGCGAAATGGGCAGTGCGTGAGCAAGTTCGAACCAAACAAGGCGGATAGCGAAACAAGAAGTGAAACTGATACAGTTAAACAAATACAGTCAAACAATCTCCGGCACAATTGGTTACAATAATAATAATTGTTTCTGTTATTCCAATCGTGTTCTTATCGAGACTGGTCGGTCACTACAGATGCATGACCTAGCACTTTCTGCTAAATGAGTCAACTAAAAATAATGTGGTCAGCATCCAATGTCGAACACTTACAGAGCTATTGATTTTGGTGATTAATATGCAGCTACATCTTCAACGACATAAGTCGGTGAAGTTTCAGTATGTTTCAAACTGATTCACCCTATTTATTTCACTTGCTTTATTCACAATCATTGGATCAGGCTTTGACTCACTTTGATTTTGAAACGACATTCTGCACTCGAAGAAACTAACTCCGAACGTACATGCAACAGGATGGAATGATTAGTCTTGGATTCGACAATTTTTTATCATGTTGTAACTTATTAAGTTAATGTGATAATCAGGAGTATTTGAATTGTAATATAAACTAGTAATCCCAGGAATAACGCAATTTAATCAAGAATTATTAGATGAACACAAACGAATGTATTGTATTTGAAATTCAAGATCACAGCAGTCATCAATACAAAGAAGTCATTGGTTCATTCAAACATCACACTTGATTATAATTTTTTAAATCTATTCAAAATGCAAGTTTTGTTGGTACGAAAGTGACTGACGGAATGATAGCCTCGAGGTTCGGGATAATTATCTGTTGCTTCTCACAGGGTTGCGTTACCGATTCATGAAATAATGGTTACATGTTACTATTCTTGAATGTAGGCTTTCTCAATTTCACTAGCCTGTAGTCTTAACTATATTCCATAATTTCAGAAGCGTTTGTCTGAATATGCATACGCACTTTGTTAAACTTATTATCAGAGCCAGATCTGGATATTTGGAGTTATTTATCTCCCAGTTAATCATCAGTATTTTATTGATCATAGCCAAAACTCTCTATACTCCAATTTTTATTGCAAGTTTTACTCGGTTTTTATTATATGACGCCAAAGCAATGTTACTGATCCTCATGTTAGACCACTAGAAATAGGTTAGTCTGATTGTTGCTGCGACAGCTAATGTCCTCATAATTTCCTTGCTGTCAACACATGCTTACGTGAAATATTGCCTTGAATCAATTATTATTCAGTTTCACTTGTTTCTTATAATCTCACTATATTTTTTGATCTAATCACAGAACAACTTCAACGGAGAATAATTTCTAAACAAAACGGGAATTCACTAAACCTGTTTTATCGAGAGGGCTTTTGCACTCGAAACGTTTTTTACTTGAGTGAGCTAGGTTTACGTTCTTCGGCGTCCATTCCTCCTTCGTTTTTTTACTCTGATGGAATCAGATATTGTGTCCGACAATATTCTTATACGCCTTTAATTTAAGTGAAAAAGCATATTTACAATAAAATACGTTTAGTATCTAACGATTCATTTTTCAAACACCGATAGTTTTCAACATTAAAATGTGTCTTTTAGCAACTCAGTCACAACCTTCAATTTCAGATGTGATCACCGTCAGTTAAAACGCTATGCACCAGTGTAATTATCCATCAAAATTTGTAAATGAGATAAGAGAAATCAGTAGATATGTACACTAGATATGTACAGTCAGTTTTTATGCACAATGATTAAAGCTACCTTTATGATCACTCGCCCTAAAGTACATACCCGGAAGTTTATGATGGTCCATACGAGTAGTTACTCGAGGCTAGTAGAATTAACTCAATAAGTTCATGATTTACTTTCGCAGTCAATCCGGTTGTGCGCAACTACCATACGTTCAGTGAAATAACACAGAACCCTACTCAAGTTGTCGGTTAAGCAAATCACTGGATATTGATACAATTACATTCAGCAAAAGATGGCTAAGTGAGAACTTGAGAAATAAAATATATACCTTATCCTGACTTTTCATTTATTACATCCTACTTCTCTGCACTTATAACTCTTTAAATGTGTGAAAGGCCAGAGAAATGCACTGGACCCTAAAGAAATCATACAGCAGTAGAGTCATTGATTGTCAAACAGTCCGCCGATCATCGACGTAGTTGGGGACGACCGGCACGTACAAACAAACTGCACACCATGGACTGTCCCATGAAATAGTAGCCACACTTTGTCCCTTGTACCTACTGTTAATAATATAATTCTGTAATAATATCATTTGTGTTGTGTGGTCATCAAGGCAGCCATAGCACTTCGACACGACGAAAGGGTAATTTACGTCAGGTTGATTTACATACACTAATAGTAAAACTCACAAGTCAGACTCAATAACTACGCAAAAATTTATAGGAAAAGAGGTGAGAAGACACTCAGAGTAAAATTGTATCACAATACATAGACTTGTTTTCCATTGTCAAGTTATAAGCACAGCTTGAACGAAACAAAACTGACCACTTGAAATTCTTTAAACTGATGAATTAAACCATTTTATTCATGAAGTGAAAGTAAACATGTTTTAACCAACAAAAACCACGAATACTGTACAATATGTACACCAGTTACACTTCACTATGAGAGTTAACTGTCGTCCCCGTGGTACATGAGAGACCCCTAGTTGTAAAGAAAAAACAGAAGAGGGGAGTGAGTCACATCATAATAATGCAAGCAGATAAGTTAAATAATCAACTAGGCATTTTAAGAGGAAGTATAAAAAACCTGGTTGTTTAGATAAACGCAAAGTACCATCATACAAAAATTATGCGCAGTATTACTTTTCTATACAGTATCAAACAAAATTTTACTATTCTTGCTGATGTAATCGCTTTAACGAGGTGATATAAGAGACAGATATGGCGTGGCCTCTACACATTCTATCACAGTATACAAATTGGAAAGAGAACGTATTTAACAACACTACTTCTGATACAGCCTTCATTCGAGATACTAACAAACTCAACGAATTCAAGATAATTCTCAACTACAGGTTACAAACTCTACAGGACCTACAGAAAGAAGAAACTACGATAGAGGAAAGGTATCAAAGAAGCATTAACTCAAACATGTCAGGAGGTTCTGAGCCTCAAGAAGCATCATGGTAAGGAACGAGTCTATATGGAAACCCTGGACAACATTCAAAAAAGGATGAACAAGGGTACACAGAAGCAAACACGCAAGTGAAGAGCATTAAAGCCGACAAGCAGAAATACATGGGAGAACTAGCAACGACGGCGGAAAAAGTTGCGAAAGAAGAGAGTATGGAACAGTTGTATGATACAATGAAGAAACTAGTAAGGCGATATATTAAACCGGAGAGACCAGTCAATGAGAAAGAAGGGAAGACGATCACGGAGATTGAGGAACAGAAGAAGAGATGGGTAGAATACTTATAAAAACTGCTGAATAGACCAGCCCCATTGAATCCACCGAACATCGAAGCAGCCCACACTGACCTTCCAATAGATGTCACTCCACCAACGTTCGAAGAAATCATGACAGCCATTAGACGAATCAAGAATGAAAAAGCAGCGGGACCTGACAATACACCAGCTGAAGCACTGACGTCAGACATTGAAGTAACTGCAAACATGCTTCAAACTCTATTCAAGAAGATTTTGGAAGAGGTGCACGTGCCGACGGACTGGAAGAAGGACACCTCATCAAGATACTAAAGGAAGAAGATCTGAGAAAATATGAGAATTACAGAAGTATCACACTGTTGTCAGTACATGGAAAAGTTTCCAATAGAGTGTTGCTGAATCGGATGAAAGACGCAGTAGACGCTCAACTTCGAGATCAACAGGCTACATTCCGTAAGGATCGGTCGAGCACAAGCCGAATTGCGACACCACGGATCATCGACGAACAGTCAGTTGAATGGAAATCGTCACTAAACATTGCCTTTACTGACTATGAGAAGGCGTTTGAGTGTGGGCAGGAGAACATTACGGGAACTTCGACACTATGGAGTTCCTGCAAAGATTATCAACATTACCCAGAACTTATACGACGGACTACACTGCAAAGTCGTGCATGGAGGACAGCTGACAGATGTATTTCCAGTAAGGACCGGAGTCAGAGAAGACTGTCTACTCTCCCTGTTTCTCTTTCTCCTGGTGATTGACTGGATTATCAAGATCTCGACAGCTAAGAGGAAGCACGGAATACAATGGACATCTCAGGATCAATTAGACGATTTAGACTTAGCGGATTACCTAACCCTCTTATCCCATACACACGAACAGATGCAGATGAAGACAACTAGTGTAGCAGAAGCCTCTGCAACAATAGGCCTCAACATATGCAAGGAAAAAAGCAATATCCTCAAATACCAACGGGGAACAACCCAATCACATTTGATGGATAAGCTCTGGAACAGGCGGAAACTTTCACATACCTGGTCAGTATCATCGATGAACAAGGAAGACCCAACACAGAAGATTAGTAAAACATTAAGAGCATTCCTAGAATTGAAGAACATATGGAACTTAAAACAACTGTCAAGTAATATCAAACTCACAATTTTTAATACGAACATCAAGACAGTCCTATTGTATGTAGCTGAAACGTGGAGAACTACTACAACCATCATCAAAAAGGTACAAGTATTGATAAACTGTCTACGCAAAATACTGAACATCCATTAGCCGGGTACCATCAGCAAAAGCCTTCTGTGGGAAAGGACAAACCAGCTACATTATTAAAATCACCAGAATGCATCACGATGTAAACCGTAACTTGGAATCCTTAAGTAGAAAATAGCAATGTCTAAGAACACATTACGTCGGGAAATAGAAGCAGATATGAAAAGGATGAATAACAACTGGAAAGGATTGCCCAGAACAGAGTTGGATGGAGAGTGCTGGTGGGCGACCTATGCTCCTCAACGAGGGGTTACGGGTGTAAGTTATATATATATAATGCACGAGTCGCACATGAGCTTCCATCTACCCTAATGTGATATGTCAATAAGTGACGAATCAAGAATAGACATAAATCCATAAAAGTGCAGGCAACTAGTTACAGCCGATTAAGAGACGTTTCCAAGTTGGGATCGAGAGGATTTAAACACGTAACTTATTAGTTCTGAGTCAGACGTCTAAACCAATAAATAAGTCCCACTTCTAGATGGAGGATTTTTTAAGACTCACCTAAAATGTAAGCAAATTTAGTTCACATAATAATAAACGAAATATTTATAACGTCTAAGCAAGAAATTGAGTTTCTGACGTTTCGTGTCTTGGCGTAAGGGGCTTATTCAAAATAACATTAGATAGCTGAATTAGGCTAACGCGAATTCAAACAGTACAGAGGGACAAAACAGAATATTTAGTACAGTTGAACAAAGTTCGATCAAGTCAGTGTCACAAAATTTCGGTCAAGGTGATTCTGTATTAAACACTGTTGTGTGTATGCTAGTGGGTGTGAGAAATGCAATACTTTTCAAATCTGAAAAAACAGAGATGAATAATCATGTGTTTACTATATAAGAAATGAACAGATTTAAATGCGATTGTTTAGATTAACAACTGAAGCTAGTTGAGTAATTAGGTCTTCCCCTATTGTTAGTAGTGGCGTTTAACAAACAGTTTTTCTATATATTTGAAATGAAATTTTTGAATTATTTTGATAATTCTAATATCGACTTGATGGTTTTGAAATAAGCATTTAATACTATTGCTGGTTTGATCCGTAAATTTCCCAGCTCTACATAAATATAAGGTCTTTTTATGTAGTTTAGATATTATTTAGAAGTGGTCGAGATTTCACATGAAGATTCTTTGACCTAGAAAGCATTAAAACGCAGTTTATAAATACACTTTTATGTAGAAGTAAAAGAGATATTATCTTTTATTCGCAAGATGCTAGCCGTTATATAAAACGATCTAATTCTGTGTAGTTTCAGAATTCATGACATTCCATTATTACATTAGCACAAACGATCAGCTCAACCCCCAACTTATTTAGAATTAAGTCAAACATTGACAATGGAAACTGACACATCGCAAATTAAGTACTAATATGAGAAGCGCCAGACAAAGTGGTGATCATACCAAGAGAAACTAAGGTTGTTTTAACCACACACCTATGAAATCGGCATAAAATCAGAAAAACTAAGTGTGGAACCAATGTCCCGAAACTGGTTTTCAAATAGTGTGCGCAGTAAAAGTATGTTGTAGTGTAGATTATACATACAATTAGAGGTGATAAAACAATAATAATAATCAATTGATAAGAAACACTACATTGTAACAAATGAAACATGATAAAATTGTAAGATAAGAAGATAGAACATCAAAAAGAATTACACACATTTAGATTATATATAACTGAAACTTCTACATAGTAAACGAGGGGTAAGGATAAATCCTACAGTAGATTAGGTCAGACTCTAAAAGTAATATGAAATAAAAAGTAACCAAAGATTGTACTACGAAGTTGTCACTCAATTTATTAATGTAAATCAACGTGTTTATTTTCTCTACTATTACATCGATTTGTGTAATAAATATCACCAAACGGTTTTTAAAAAATGATCTAGTTGGATAGAAATATTTTAACTTGGAATCTTTAAAAATTTAGTCATATAGTGATAATTATGGCTATAAAAGTTCTTAAGTAATATGGTTTTTGGAATTTGTTTAAGTTAATAGAGTACTACGTAACTATATATAACCTAATGAATTTCATTTGTTTGTCAACATAACCACATATCCCTTATTAGAAGTCATTACTGTTCTCTGCTTACATATCTAGTGCTATAAAACTAACCCAAGTAATCAATATTTTACTAACTTCATGCAATTAGTTCCCTTTATGAATTTAAATAAAGACAGAACAAATATTGATGCAGAATAATATGAATTCATTATATTTCGTGGTTTCTCATCAGCTGCTTACAACCAAATATGTATTAGAATTTTACCATTGGAGTAATAAACAGTGTGTAACAATTGACATAATTGAATGTAATGGATTGGAACGACAAAAGGGTATCAATGATATATATATATATATATATATATACCCGGCGAAATTCATCCATAAATACGCAAACACCAAGCCATAATTATCACTATATGACTAAATTTTTAAAGATTCCAAGTTAAAATATTTCTATCCAACTAGATCATTTTTTAAAAACCGTTTGGTGATATTTATTACACAAATCGATGTAATAGTAGAGAAAATAAACACGTTGATTTACATTAATAAATTGAGTGACAACTTCGTAGTACAATCTTTGGTTACTTTGAATTTCTCATGAGATGGATTGTGATTAAAAGTAGAGTGCAAAATGGGACTTATCGATTGTATCTATCTGCATTGTAGTGTTGATGTTCACGTCAAATAGGATAAAACGCGCGTTCTTAATCCCATGGTTAACCTCAATTCATCTCTTATATAAAACTAGTAATGAGATGACTATATCAAAGTAATCCGCACAGAATGTAAGTATACCAAATAAGACTGATCAAAATTCAGTCAACAATAAGATAAACTAACCCCTTACAAACTAAATCTATTGAAACTATTACCAGTCGGAATGCGTTAGTTAAATGAGATGTTAAGATTATTGAAAATTATGCAGAAAATGATTCTGTTTTTGGTTTTTTTGAGTTCATTAGTTTCTAAATTAACTTATTATTATTATGATAAACCTGTATCTATTCAAATCAAACTTATCAACTCTACCATAAATGTGAATATGTTAATTGTAATTTGTAATCAAAAACAACATTAAGCTACCTTTAAAACTTATAATAATTCTGTTCAACAGTTAACCAACGAATAATTACCAATTTATTCTACATTTATTTGAATTATATGTTTAGTCTTTTTATTTCTATTGGAATAATTAGAAAAATTTTCTGTATAATTTAAAATATTTACTTATTTAACTACGTGAATAATAATAATTCCACTTTTCAATTAACTACTTATTAACAATTAGTATTACATAATGTAGTATCTGTTTTTTATTAGTTGAAATCCTATTGATACAAATTTAACCTTTCTTTTTTACTTCTCAAGTCGTAAATTAATTCCTCAAAACGATTGAACTATTTGTGATTTCTTTTTCGGATCAAATTGTTTTCAAACTTAAGGATCATAGATATTTCAATATCTAATGAAAATTAATTAGGCTCCATGGATTTTAATCTATGAGATTACAATAACAAATAATTCATAGATATTAATCGCTGAAAAATTCCCATCATATTAAAATACAATTATATGAATGAAGAAGAATATTCTTTTCAATAATTTCTCATCAGGTACTACAATTATAAATCCAAATTAAATGATCCACAAAAGAAAATTGGCCAAAATAAGGCAGAGTACATCATTTAAGAAACTGTAACATGTGAATCAAGGAATGTTTGTGATATAAAATAAAATCAAATCGTTAATGTTGGGATGACTAATATGTTTCACATGTTACAGTTTCTTAAATAATGTACTCTGCCTTATTTTGGCTAATTTTCTTTTGTGGATCATTTAATTTGGATTTATAATTGTAGTACCTGATGAGAAATTATTGAAAAGAATATTCTTCGTTCATATAATTGTGTTTTAATTCATAGATAATTAAATAATTTATAGAGCTAACAAAGAGTATACATCTCAACTTATTGAGAACATTTAAACTGAATATTATCATTCAATTGAAAAAATTGGTTTTTCATAAATATCAAGCTGAAAAGTATAGGGAATATTCAGAAAATGAAGTGATTAAATGGGCATTTCTAATAATTCAATGTGGTCTTACTACACGTGATGTGATTATCCAGTAAAAATTATGCAATTTTTATAATATATTAACGAAATGTTACCATTTAAAATTATGAGTTATTTAACACAGAGTAAATCTTAATTGATATTTACTCTAATTCAATTATATCATATCAATATCTTTGATTTGCTATATTTAAACCTCTGGTGGAATCTAAAGTTTACTTACACACATTTAATGAGACATGATGTAGGACAATTACTAAGCCAACATTCTATCATGGATTCACATTAAGTAGGCGAAAGGAAAAGTTTGGAAAGTGCAATGTACTCTAGCACAGAATATAAATCCTAGATCTCTAGCATAAAAATATGAACAGTGAGTGTTAACATATCTTGTTCTATCTTCAAAATGTTGAGGACACTTGTTTACATTTTTAATACATCTTACACAAACAGTGAACACTATGTTTCTGATAAATGCTAGAATTGTAGATTCTATCAGTTTCCGAAACATAATTCTCATTTTTAATGAGGTTAAATAGTTATATGATTTATCTACTCACTTCGTAAAACCCAGTTTGGTAACCACAAATAAACCAACTCAGCAATAATGGATGTAACTGTAATTCACTGACGTGTTGTATATTTGAAAAATCTAATGATTGATTCTGTTTTATGGGCTGGGAGATATTCTCAACCGAAAATTCATTAAGTCCAGGTTTACACGAATTTTTAGTTTCTGATTCCTGTTTTTTATAACGAGGAATAAGTGGATTAAGTGAAGTTTTGTGCAAATGAGAAGTAATTTCATTCAATTCGTTTATGTCCGCATCTTGGACAGAGGATTCGCATGTTTCTCTGAGAATAAAAAATGTTCCAAAACAATAACACACAAGTTTTTAGGCCGAAGTGTTAACTATTGAATATCTCAAAACAGCAATACAACGTAAGATATACAATATGCAATCTCTACAAAGAATGAATTGTTATGATGGCATGATAAGCTAAGATCCTCAATTTCAAAACTGCTTTTAATTGGACTACAATAATCTCTATATGGAACGCAAGTTACAGAAATTTCTTTCGGGTCATTCGAGTTCAAGACGTCTTATATAACAATATACCTACCGAATGCATTCTGCGTATTTAGCTACTACTTTAAAGTCAGTTGAACTACTCAGATACAGTTTCGCTGTCTTTATGGTGATTACATACTCTTAATCCCAACATGAAAAAGAATTTATTGATTTCTTCTAGGTAAATTCTAAGAAACCACTTAAGGGTAATAACACTTTAACTACAATTTGGCAAAGTAATGACTGATTTATTTTAAGGCAGGTATTTACGAACTTCAAAATAGTTAAACTAAAGTATGAGTCCTTATATCAACATCACATGATAAACACTGAACAGTATTACTCCGAAGAAAATACAACACAAATCAAGTGACTTGTGTGACGCATGTGTATTCATTGCCCCTTTGTACCAATATTTATTTGTTCAAATAAATGAATAAATAATAAGCTAAGTTACGACACGATTTGGTAATAAATAGTAAAAAAAAGATGAATCCAGAACTCTGGTTTTATTACTATAGTTAAACGTCCTACAGATTAATCGCACCAGTAATTTCGAGATATTAAGATGAATTAGGAGGAGATTGCTTGGTACATCATTTCTCACTGAAAACGGGTAAAATAGCGGATATCTACTAATAACTGGTAACCAAACACGTCAGAACTCAGTATCACTGAATATATATACTACACAAGCTATGCAGACAAGGGGAAATCTGAAAATAGACGATGCATTCGACAAGTAGCTAATTCAACTATTGACGGAATATATATTACTCAAAAATACAAACTAAAATAAATTCATGATTTTGTACACACGGCATCTAATCATTAATCAACAGGGTCAGATTTACTTTATCAATTTATCTGGCCAGTCAATGCATACAATACAGGGAAAAGGAAAACTGGCATTTCCAAAAGGTTCTATTTTGGGTCGAACTAGCTCAAATTTACTCCTATAATGAATATCATAGTTGATCGGTTTCAAAAACTTTGCTGCTAGTACCTATTTGTTCAAGTTAATAGATATTCGGATTTAAAGAACAGTTTTTGAAACTGAATCTCTTCACGCACGCTACTGACAAATTTGGTACAAGGCGATGGGAAAAACTACTTAGTGTTGATAGCATTCAACTAATTATGTACCAAGTCATAATCCTTGAAAAGTTTTCATCTCGCCCCTAAGTTAAGAAATACACAAAGGTAACAGGAAACAAAGGAAAAACAGGAACTAATTTTTTTAATGATAATGATAACCTATAATAATTTATTATCTTAAATAATAATAAAAATACATCACGATGCTTACAGTTTATTATCATTATCTTCCTCGAGTTCACATTGATCACTGATCTTTTCCTTAATAAACAGATGAAACATTAACCAATGATAACAATACCTTCACTGAAAGTGCAGATGACTTATTCATAATGTCTGTCACGTACACCTCAAATTCAGAATTAATATTATACAGATCTTTAGAGGATTTCTGTTCAACATTCTCATAAAAACAAAATGATACTGTGAAAATATCATTTTCATAATCAGTTGTTAATATTTTAGCATAGTAATAGGCTTCATCTTCACTCCATGTGCAAATGCATATATCTCCATTGTTCCATAATTGGACAGGATTTTTCTGTTTTTCAGTTTTCAAGATAATTGTATTCTACATATAATAAAGTATCTTTTGTTATTTAATACTACTTTTAAAACAAACCGTAGAGGGTGGAAGATTTAATAAAGAGTTAAGTTTTATAGCAAAATACGAGTAATTAACTGACTAAAGACAAAATTAGAGCAGAATAATCCTACATACATCTAGAGTTGACGTAATGTGATCATTTTTACATAATAAATCAACGTTTTCTGGTGTTATTTTTAGCAAATCACTGGAATAACACGAAGTTGTGTAACTGTTCGAACGAACAGTGACAAGTGAGTTTTTCAAATTGATTTCCTCAATAATAAATAAATCATAAACTTTGTCTTCACGCTGATAGATGCAAACATCTCCCAGAGACCACATCACTTAGTCAGGATTAAGAAATAAATCAATGAAATCTTGGTGCCCAGAAGTTCATCTGTAAATAATAAAAAAATGCGGAATATTGTATTCAAGATGAATTGCTTTAAGACATGAAAACAATTCAGTAATACACTAAATTTGTTTATCAAACCTTGAGACATTTATTAAGGTGGAATACGAAGTAATTTTCTACAAAACGTTATTAGGCGAAATTAAGTTTCTAGAACCCAGCTCAGTAGTAGATTGCTTGGAGGTTACCGATTCCAATGAAAGCAGTACGTCATTCGTTACAACTGAAGTCGTGCTCTGAAAGACAACAGTCAGTCGGTCAGCTACAACGTAGGACCAGGCACATATATCTATCCGTCTAAGTTGCCACACTTCGTTTGTACAAGATCAAAACCATGTTCACAATAGTCACTTTAATGGTAGTAATATATAAAAGAAAGATTGTATATAAGGATATAGTACGGGAAGAAAGGAAGGTATGAAGCAATCTTAATCTCATACCTTAAGGGAAGACAAAGAGTACATACACCTACGCCATTGTGATCGAGTCTGAGCCATGTCACACAGAGTCTCCAACCATTGGTTACGACAGTCACACGGACCCCAACCAAGTAGTCCGTATCTACCAACATGGCTCAGACTAGAAGTTAGTGACTTCAAGCACTGGTGCCACGTTTTGGTAGCCCTTAACTTTCTATTAACCATCCCCAATACTAGTCAGCATTGTGCGTCGTGGTAATCCGTGTTCAGGCATACGTAACACATGGACCAACCATCTCAGTAGATGAAGGCTTACAACCTCATCAACTGATCTACGATAATTTCCTAATACTTTGCGTTTAACCTTACTATTACCCGCTGATCCCAGCAGATGGAGGAAAGCAGTTTGAATGGTGTAAGTTATTTTCGAAAGTTTATTTATTTGTTTAAACACATAAATATTGGTACAAGAGGGCACCAGATATATATGCGTCACACAAAACAATCAGAATGGGAAGAGAAAAGGGGTAAGGTGCATATATAAAAAAAAGAAAATAAATGAGAGTAATAATGGGGGAAACTGAAATGTACAACTAGAAGATCTCTTTCAGTTAAGGAAGTTATGACAACTCTTTATGAAGTAAAAGGTTGCAGCAGGATCGCCACTGGCTTCTATTCTGAGCCATATCTGATAACGTCTGTAGCCACTTTATTGCACCATCTCTAGGACCACAACCACGGAGTCATGAAAGACCACCAGAAGCCAGTCCTGCACAGCTTTCTTTCATGACCCCAAACCATGCTATACACTGACCACCTCTCCGCTTTTTCCAACTAGTCCCAGCGTCGGCAAATGATGCATGACGAGGGATTCTCTGGGACGACATTCGCAAAACACGTCCAAGCCATTGAAGTCAATGTTTCAAAATAGTGACATCAATTGAATTATCGTCACTGAGCCCGAACACATGATGCCGAACCTCTGGATTAATAACATGGTGTTACCACTGGATGTCAGAAATCTTTCGGAAACAACGATGATCGAACACAGAGAGTCATCTAACATTCTCAACTTGGAGAGGCCAGGTTTCACAAACATACAGCAAAACTACTCTAACCGATGCGTTGTAGATCCGACCTTATACAGCCAGACTAACATCACGAAGACGCTAAAGATGACTCAGATTGTATAAGTAAATTTATCTTTCACTACACGTGAATTGATTTCATCAGTCACGCCACCACCAGCACTTATATAGCTACCTAGATACACGAACTTCTCAATTACTTCAATGTGCTCACCATCCAAGGTGAGTACAGGATGAGAATCCTGCCAGTCTTGTAGGAGTACTTTGCACTTCGAAGGTGCAAAACACAGACCGTAATTACGGACACTAAGTGCTAACTGATTAAGTGCGGATTGCATGCCTTGGGCATTATCGCACAGTAAGAAAATATCATCCGCATACTCAAGGTCGAGAAGTCTTTCTCCAGGAAACAGATCTATACCTCTGTTACTTACATCCATCAGAGCTGCTTCCAGAATGTCATCGATGGCAAAGTTGAAGAGGAATGGTGAGATTGGGCAACCCTGTCTAACCCCACTGCTCGAATGGAACAAGGGAGAAAGGTGGTTGTATGCCCTCACTCTGTCTGAGGTGTTTGTATACAGTCAGTCAGTCAGTCAGCTACAACGTAGGACCAGGCACATATATGCATCGGTCCAAGTTGCCATACCTCTTTAGCACAACAAGATGAACACCGGATTCATAGAAGCAATTAATTTAGTGGTGGTAGTATATAAGGAAAGGTTGTATATAAGGATATAGTAGGAAGGAAGAGAGATATGAAGCAATTTTAATATCAAGGTTTAAGGGAAGATAAAGAGTGTATACACCTACGCCATTGTGATCGATTCTGAGCCATGTCACACAGAGTCTCCAACCATTTATTACGATAGTCACGCGGACCCCAACCAGGTAGTCTGCATCTGCCAACATGGCTCAGGCTAGAAGTTAGTGACTTCAAGCACTGATGCCATGTTTTGGTTTGGCCGCCCCTAACTCTCTTCCAACCGTCCCCAATACTAGTCATCATAGCGCGTCGTGGTAATCGGTGTTCAGGCATACGTAACACATGGCCCAACCATCTCAGTCGATGAAGATTTATCACCTCATCAACTGATTTACCATCGTTACCTAATACCCTGCGTCTAACCTCACTATTACTTACTCGGTGATCCCAGCAGATGCGAGCAATATTTCTAAGGCATCTGTGGTCAAATACTAGTAACCTACGAGTATCTTCTACTCTTAATGACCATGTTTCGCAGCCGTAAAGTAGAACAGAACGAACTGCTGCGCAGTATACTCGTCCCTTAATTGATAGACGGATATCTCGTCTTCGCCATAGGTGACGTAAGTTGGCAAAAGCCAAACGAGCTTTTTGAATCCGTGCTGAGATTTCGTCAGACACCAACCCATTAGGGCTGATCAGACTTCCAAGATAAGTGAAGTTGTCAACGCGTTCGACTACTTCACTCCCTATCCTTAGTTCAGGTGTTGACGTAGGCCAGTCCTGGAGTAACAATTTACATTTGGATGGGGAGAAACGCATCCCAAACATCCTGGCATTATTACTCAGTTCTAACAGAAGACTCTGCATTTTGTCAGTGTCTTCACCAAACAGGACTATGTCATCTGCGTATTCTAAGTCGCTTAGTGGTCCCCCTGGTAGGAGATCAATTCCTGTAAACTCAGTCGACGAGTGTCATTTGCAGCAACAGGTCTATAATGAAGTTAAACAAAAAGGGGGATAGTGGACAGCCTTGACGGACACCACTTGAGGTTGTAAAATCATATGACAGTTCGCCATAAGCTCTCACCCGACTGATAGTGTTCGAGTAAAGAGCCTTCACAAGGTTTATGTACTTCTCAGGTACACCTTTCAATGACAGACACTGCCACAGAACCTCTCGGTCTACAGAGTCAAATGCTGCTTTCAAGTCAAGAAAAACTATCATTGTCGGACGCCGATAAGTATGTCTGTGCTCTAAAACTTGACGAATGGTGAATATGTGGTCGTTTGTATACAGGGCTTTTAAGACGTTAATAAACTTCTCAGGCACACCCTTCCTCAATAGACAATCCCAGAGAACAGTCCCGTCCAACGAATCAAAGGCAGCCCCGATACCAAGAAACAATACGATTGTTGGCCTGTGATAAATATGACGATGTCCTAACATTTGTGATCAATGCATCCTCGACCAGAACGAAAACCAGCCTGCTCCTAGCGAGTCAATCTTTCTCGGGTTTTAAACAACATACGAAGTATGGCAGAAGCCCATAGTTTAGACGCAGTCGGAAGTAGACTTATCCCTCGATAGTTGTTACAAGAACGACGTAAACCCTTTTTAAAGATAGGGACAACTATCGACTCATTCCATCAATTGATTCCATGACTGTTTCAGTATTTGTATTCGATGGAAGCAATCACTTTCGACCAGTGACTCGAGATCGTTTAGATAGAACAGGGTTTTCACTATAGGCGAGCTGGTATATAAGTTGAAAAATTGGGAGTACATGAAGTGGGTGACGTAGTATATAAAAAAATGATAGTAATAATAATAAAAATGAGTGTTATCAAGTGAGTGTGAATTGTCTGAATTCTAATTGAAGCGAGCATAGTAGTTCGTGAAGTAACTGTCATCTCATTAGATTTGTATGAGAGCTGTGATAATACCCGGGTGCCCAGACCGAAGAAGGTTGTATATGGTGACCGTGTGAGAGCATTTTGAGAGGGAGGGGCCTCTTCACTCTCGGCCGCACCAGAGCATTCGGGAGAATAACATATTTTTGAATCTAAATTATCAGCATTGGTGGAGCGTGGTGACAGAAATATGTGAGAATAATTCGCGGGGATAAGAGGATTATTAAGAGATGAGGAAGGGATTCAGTCGTGAGTACGATTATATCAGTTGCTGCTAACGGTAGGAGGGTGGTTGTCACTTCCATGCTGTTCATACTGTGAAAGTATATTTATTCTTGAGGGACCTGAAGAAAGAAGTGAGGCTAGTGGTGGTCTTATCAATTGGTGGGAATGGCCGTAAAGCTTAAGGGACAACTGCTTGTGGCCGGTCACCCATGGCCTTTTATGGGAAGTTTTCGATGCGGTACCTACGCACTTTAAAAGGTTTAATCACCGAAGATGTAAGTCCGTGGCGTAAGATGAGGTGTGAGATTTTTGATATTGACTATTTCTGACTGCTTCCTTCTGTTTTGAGATGGCAGTATCGCTTCAGATGCTGGTTGTCCCAGGGAAACACTTTACTAATGTTTTACCTCTATACAGTCAGCGGTACGATTTCACCATCAGGCCTTAAGTTGCTGCTTTTAGTCTTTTCATTATTCAACCGACCTTACTTGCATGGTAGGATCTAAAGGAACATGTGTTCCGGCTAACACAGTTCAAACGAGTCAGCATGATAGGGAGGCCCAGCCACCATGTCCAGGTCGCAGCTACGATCGGGGTATTGAAAAATAAACATGTTTGATGGTAAAAGATAGTTCCATGAGTCAGTGCGGACTGGGGAATGCATAACATTAGATAGTACTGAGGGAAGAGTCACTGGTCGTTAGTTTGTAGTGTCATTGGGCCTGAACCTTGGGTGAACAGTCCAACATTTCACAACTCAGAACTAAAACGCGACTCAATGAATGCGAGAGCAGTACACGAGCATGTGTTACCAGATTTGGGTAAGCCTTCGCAGAATAGTGGAATGAACCTTCTGTGGACCTTAGTACAAAGGTTCCTACTTTTTTCAAACTGTCAATATGTGCGACTATTGATAGTTCGTCTACAGTCTATCCAACATTATGTTTTCAGTTCAAGTGGGTTGAGAGTGTGGCTGCGTAGAACCTTAGGCTGATTAAAGGTTTTAATGACTGTTTGTGAGACTGATTAGCAGCACACAAAATTACGCTGATCGAAAAATCCCTGCGAACACTTAGATCGATTAGTGAACTAACCAGTGTACCCGTTGAGAACTCGTCCTTAATATATCGGCATTCAGCCTTGCAAATACAGTGTATGATCCGAAGAACGTTTTATTCAAATTTCACGAACAAATATGAAAACGACGACACTGTGACCACTTTGCCAAAAGGATCCAGAAACGAGGCTGTTATTTTAAAAAGTTGGTAAAGACAAAATGTGAGCTTTTTTGTTTACTGACAATGCATTTCTGATAATGTTTCCTACTGACGATGGTGAAAGACCAACCATTTACAACAATGGAGCATCGTCGATGAATCCTTTGTTTGTTAACGGAGTTGCTCTGTAACTATTCCAACACATCAAACTAGATAAGTTTAGTGGTGCCGATGATACCCATGCCCGAACCATAGTCGCATTTGCAGATGTAACTGTCAAACCACCGGCAATACTGCTTGGTTTCTTTGAAGCCAACCAATAATCCGGAAAGTTGAAATTGGTCTGGTCTATAAAACCAGGTGTAAATACTCAGTTAATAACTACGACCACTTTAGCCTAACCAGTAGTTGTCAAGCAAAATGAGAATTGTTATTTGGGCTTCTAGTCAACATCATGTGGGATGGACTAATATTCTAGAGAGAAAACGGAACCAGGTTAGGAAAAGTCTCATAAGTTTGATTAGTTTTTTCATCCCAAGAGACCGGATCAGTTAACAATTAAAATACACAGAGATGTAATTTTCGTCGGTCTAAGTAAAGTCTGGGAAAGTCTTATATTTAGGTGCTAAGTGAAATACGAAGTTTTAGGAGCAATAATGGAGCTAGAAGGTTAACAATCAACGTTTTCGCTTATAGGAAGTGGCGAGTAAGAGTAAACGGTGATTTGTTATCACGGAAATTTGAAGAGCGAACAATTTTAGTCGTTTACCTTCGTTTAATTAACGCAAATTACCTGGCATGTATCTTGAAACTATACTTCCTGTTTTTACAGATGACATCAGAATATGGGGACTAACAATGTGTCCGGTAAAACAGAAATATAAAAAGACTCAAACTCCCTGGTTGAGTGAATATATCAAGTGAAGTATTAAAAACCAAAAGTAAACGTAGATCATTGAGTATCCTCTCGTTATTTATGAAGGCATGTGAGTGATGTTTAAGGTAAGGAATACGATTTAGGGTTTTCATTACGAACTGCCATCAGCTGTAATGCAAAAACTCTATTTAGCCAAACGGATGAGTGGATTTCCCACCAAAATATGTGACCTGTTGCCTTATATCTGATTGTTTCATTGATAAATGATAGTCTCGCCCATTATAAAATACATTGGAACGAATACTTACAATGGAAAAACTCCACTCCACGTCAACACCTCGATGGATGTAAGGATTAATCACCGCCGTTTTGTTCAGGCGACCTTGAGTGCCTTAGCTCAAGATTTTCAATTCATATTAGTAGTGCGTCAGTTCATGGCTTGTTTGCAGGCCAAATAAACTTAGTAGCACGAGTGCTTTTGACAGACCCGTATATTTCACGTTACGTCGAATAACATGTACCCATACTCATTGTGTGTTTAGTCTTGCTTACAGCTAAGAAAGACATCTGCGTTGCGCTTTTTAACTGCCCATTAATGTCTAACTGTAGGTTAGTTAGTAGATTTTATGTCCATTTATTTGATAGTAATACTGAGTTATGTACTTATGGGAGTATTTCGACCGACCTAACAGATACTTCTACGCAGTTAAAAATAGTGCCAGATCTCTTTTTGGGTTCTTACTCTCTGAATACTTTAAACATTTGGGCTGGAGGCAGACACATCCGATCCCCACCCCTTCGCCAGTGATTAAATCATTGTTAACTGAGACCTTTAGGATTGCCAGTGTGTTGTAACTGGATGAACTAACGATTCCTTTGTATTTGGTGATTGCTTGATCTCAAATTCCAAATACAATATAGCTAGTACTTCTTGATTAAATCGCTTTATTTCTGGGATTCCTAGTCTGTATAATAATTCAAACGCCCCTACTTGTCACAAAGTTACTGCCATTGTCATTCATTTCAAATAGTTCACTATTATTTGTTTTAATCTGTTAAGATTCCTCAATACACTTATAATCACATGAATTCAAACTTTTATGGACAAGCCACTACCTGATTATTTCGTTAGTAATACCAAAGTACGGCTATGTTGCACTGTGTGAGCATATAGTGGTAGATGTTTTCCTGTCATCGGACTGTCTATGACTTCCCGTGTACACATTTAGATCATTTACTTTTTCTTAGTAATCGGGAAACTAGGATTAAGGTGTTTTATACAGTTGAACAACACAACAAATTTCGTAACTTCGCCAGAATCAATGAGATTATTCAACTGTTGTGTCTCTTACTCTGTTAGTTACCACATGACAAAATCACCAGTCCGAATACTGACTTAAATGACCTCGCTCATGTGTTAAACTAATACACACCAAAAGAGCACTAGCAGCCTTTTGTCAACTTTCAATCCCTATTAGTCCTCTACGCCAACCTTTGTCTGGTTTATTCCAGGACATGAATATCGGTCTCGCTTTGTGAATTGTATAATTCACACATATTTGGTTTACATACAAGCAGACCAGACCGCATCACATCACAAGATGAAAAACAATCATTATACACCATCGGTCAAAAAGTGACCGTGAGTGTGAGAGACCGTAACTAATAGATTGGGAATAACTTAAGCATGTTAAATCAAACAATAATACCCAATGGATAAAATAAGAACTCATGATAAAAGGGATATGAATATACATATGATATAGTTAATGAGTAGTTGTCCAATTGGAATATGTGCAATAATAACCCATAAATAATTCCTAGTAGTTACCATTCATTTAATTCCTCGTTTGGATATAACCTAAACCGTTCGTCTTGATATATTTATCATCTGCCGCATTTTGAAAATATGTCAACTTCATGTTCGTGATTTCAGCTTACCATTGCAGCTTGCTGATGCGTATGTAGCTGTAAATAATTCCCCAAAATCAATAGCTCATTAAGTGTTCGACATTGGATGCTGACCACGTGTTTAAGGGTACTTGTTTAGCTGAAGGCTTTCGGTCATGCATCCGCACCAGATCACGTTTCAATACGGCGTGGGACACAGCTCCTACGTTTCATTAGCCAGCTAATAGAAAATGTCCTCGATATATTGGTAACGAATCAAATATATCTTTCCTGCCTCTTCTCGTCTGACTTCTGATTTCTATCTGACTGGGAACGATAAAATTTAGAAGGTGCTACTGGTGGCTAGTTGTAAAATTAGAACATCCGTTGCATCTTCATTGATGAACCCGACGTGATCTGGTACACCAAGTCAATATACTGTGAGTCTGTTCCATTTTGGAATATTATTATTCATTGTTATTCTTTATTTGAATTTTATATATTGTAATATACTTTTTTTCGCAGATTTTTTTCTCGGATATATTTTACTTAGACATTTTTCGTTATCTATATTACTATGACGGAACACTCTCCTAAGGTTCTTAAGTTTAAATCTATTCCCCCTATTTCGATTCAGTTAACGCCATTTTGGCCCGACAATATCGAGTCCTGGTTCTGCTATGCAGAAGCCGATTTTAGCATGCACGGAATCACGGACTCGCGCACACGTTTCCTCGCGGTAGTTAAGGCGTTACCGCGCGAGTTTAACAGGTACGTAACACCTAGTATGTTCACTAGTGATGTTTCCGAACCTTACGAATCGCTTAAGCTATCGATTTTAAAACGAGGAGACCTAACTGATCGACAACGGTTAGACCAACTCCTTAACAATATCGACTTGCAACATGGTTCTGCGACGGACATGTTGCTTAGAATGAGAGAAGTCATCGGCCAACGAACTTTCGATGATGGCCTATTTAGACAACTTTTCTTGTCTAAACTCCCTCAACAGGTGCAGGCAGTGCTTGTTTCATTTCAAAACAATGCCATAGATGAACTAGCTGCATCTGCCGATCGAATCTTGGAAATCACTAGATCTTCTAAGGCCGAGGTATTTTCCGTCAAAGAAAAACCCCAATCGACCTCGACTGACATGGCCGAACTGTCACACGCTTACACGATATCTTAGAGTTCGCAATGACCGTAGTCGGTCAAAAACCCCGCGTAGAAGCGCCTCACGTAAGCGATCTGGCTCTCGACCACGAGAGACAGACAATCCCGACTGGTGCTGGTATCATAACCAGTACGGTAAGTTTTCCAGAAACTGCAGGAAACCTTGCAATTATCCGACTTCAAAATTGACTGACACGAATAAGATTTCGGGAAACTTCCCAGCCGGCACGCGTTAACGGTAACCGTAGCCGGCGAACACAGCCGTCTGTTATACGTCACGGATGTGACTACGAAAGTTCGCTACCTCGTCGACACTGGCGTAGAAGTTAGCGTTCTTCCAGCAAATCCCGACGACAGACTTCGCGAGTATGTTTTAAGTTTACAGGCGGCAAACGGAAAGCCGATCGCTACTTACGGTAAAAGGTACGTCTACCTTAACGTGGGTTTACGCAAACCCATACACTGGATTTTCGTGGTTGCAGATGTCTCTACGCCAATCATTGGTATAGACCTGTTACAACACCACAATCTACTCATCGGCACACGCTCACGAAGGTTAATAGACGGAAACATTAAGTTATCTGTTAGCGTAACTCCTTGTTCTGGTTGCAGGTTATCCCCAGTCACGATTAAGCACACCATAGACCCCTTGTACCAATCAGTACTCGACAAATACCCCGGGATATACCAATCGCAATCGAGATTACCTTGTGTAACCAGCAATGTTACACATCACATCTCGACTACAGGACCACCTGTATTTTCGAAAGCCCGAAGACTCGCTCCCGAAAAGCTTAGGTTAGCTAAAAACGAATTCGACCACATGATGGACCTAGGAATAATTCGACCATCGAATATTCCATGGTCATCCCCATTGCACATGGTCCCTAAAAAGGACAGCAATGATTGGCGGCCAACTGGTGATTATCGGCGTCTGAATGCAAAAACCATTCCCGATCGTTACCTGTTGCCTCATATTCACGATTTGACAGCTACCTTGAAAGGTACAACTGTCTTTTCGAAAATCGACTTGGTTAAAGCTTATAACCAAATACCGATGGCACCTGACGACATTCCTAAAACCGCCATCATCACTCCCTTCGGTCTTTACGAATTTCTACGAATGCCTTTTGGTTTAAGAAACGCGGCTCAAACCTTCCAAAGGTTTATAGACGACGTCTTCCGAGGTCTCAACTTCGTACATGCGTATGTTGATGACTGTCTAATAGCAAGTCCGGACAGAGAATCGCATCTCAAGCATCTGGACATTGTTTTCGATCGACTCCAAAGGCATGGCATTACTGTCAACATACAGAAATGCCAAATCGAAACAAACTCCTTAGACTTCCTAGGACACACCATTGATGCCCAAGGCATCCGACCAATTAGGAGCAAAGTGGCGGCCATTCTGGATTACCCAGAACCGACCACGATCAAGCACTTACGAACTTTTAACGGACTTGTAAGTTTCTATAGACGGTTCATACCTAAATGCGCATCCATAATCAAACCGTTAACCGATCAGCTTCGTGGAAATGCGAAATCAATTAGTTTAGACGACATAGCCCGTAAAGCATTTTCCACAGTTAAGGAACACATCGCTAAAGCAACCTTGCTTGCTTATCAGGACAGTCAAGCGCCCATTAGTATCGCCGTAGACGCATCCGACTCAGCAATCGGAGCAGTCTTACAACAATGGGTTAACAACTCGTGGCAACCTTTAGGATTTTTCTCGAGACGGTTGTTAGACGCGGAATCTAGGTACAGCACGTTCGGTAGGGAACTCCTAGCTATGTATTGTGCTGTACGGCATTTCCAGCATTCCATCGAAGGAAGAGAATTCACGCTTTTTACAGATCACAAACCTCTTACCTTCTCTTTAAATTCATCTTCAGACAAGTACTCACCAAGAGAGTCTCGACAACTCGACTACATTTCGCAGTTTACTTCAGACATACAACATATTTCTGGAGCTAACAATGTAGTCGCAGACGCCTTATCTCGAATAAATTCCTTGAACAGTTTCCAAGGAATCGACCTTCTTAAACTCGCTCAGCTTCAAAAAGAAGACATTGATCTTCAGCATGAGTTATCCTCGACAACTCTTAAACTAAGTATTAGGCAGATGGGAACAGGTAAGGAAACCTTACTCTGTGACACATCTACAGGTAGGGATCGTCCAATAGTGCCAAAACATTATCGACGCAACGTCCTCAATACGTTTCACAATCTTTCTCATCCAGGTGCTCGTGCAACAATCGAACTTATAGCTTTTGTTGGCTTTTGTTGGAGTGGGCACGCTCCTGTGTAAGCTGTCAGAAATCTAAGGTAATCAGACACAACAAATGTCCCTTAGGTTCTTTCAAAACCCCTGACGCT